TGGAAGTTAAAGCCGACGAACCAAAGCTGCGACGTTCCACTCGTTCCAACCTTGGCAAGCCTCGCGAGAAGCTGAGCTACCATGCTTGCCTGACGCCGATCTCCTACAACACATTGCTCGACGATGCGCAGGCCGACGTCGACCTGCCCGAGTTCGACCCTGACGTGCATGCCAACCCAGAGCATCGCTGGGACATCGCGACGATGACGGTGAAGGAGGCGTTAGCGCTCTGGAAGGGCAAGGCGGTGAAGGCCTCCATGGATGAGGAGATCAACAGCCTCATCACCATGGGCACTTGCGCGCCGGGTGAACATCATGAAGAACCGGTGGGTGCTGACGACGAAGTACCATGTCGACGAAACGGTAGCCCGCGAGAAGGCGAGATTGGGCGTGGAGGGCTTCACGCAGGTGTACGGCGCCGACTACGATGAGACGTACGTGCCGGTCAGCAGCTACGTCACGCTGAGGATCTTCCTCAGCATCGTCGCCATCCTCGACTTGCACCTGATGGACATGAAGAACGCCTTCCTGCAGAGCAAGCTCGACAGGGTGCTGTACATGTACCAGCCAGACTGCTATGACGATGGGACTGGCCGCGTGTGCAAGCTACTGAAGAGTCTGTACGGGCTGAAGCAGTCGCCACTGTTATGGTACAAGGCGCTCGACAACGTGCTGACCGGCGGTGGCTGGAAGAAGAGCCAGGTCGACGAGGCTCTCTACTTCAAGGTCGGCGACGACGGAGTGATGTGCTGGGTGCTCGTCGACGACCTGCTAGCCGCCAGCAGCAGCCTCGCGATGATGAAGGACCTGAAGGAGCTGCTGGAGGCTACCTTTGAGCTGCGCGAGATCAGCCCGGTCAAGAAGTATCTTGGGCTGGAGATCGTGCGCGACCGACATGCGCACCTACGTCGACAAGTTGCGCAGGCGCTTCATCGACAAGGAGCAGGCCGGGCGGATCCCAAAGACGCCGGTCTCCGTCGACGCCTACGCGGAGTTGACATTCAATGAAGAGGATGCTCAGGCGCGCGAGGAGGAGGAGTATAGGCAGAAGTTCGGTTCGCTGCAGTTCGCGGCGACGACGACGAGGCCGGACATCGCCTTCGCGTGCAGCAAGCTGGGAAGCGGCCTGACAGTGCGGAGCGACAACCACTGGCGCGAGGCCGACCGTTGCCTGCACTGCCTCGCCGACACCCGTGACACCGCCCTAGAGTTTGGCGGTGGAACAGAATCGCTTTGTCTGGTCGGCTACGCGGACGCTGACGACGCGGGCGACAAGAAGAACCGGACAAGCACAGGCGGCTACGTGTTCATCTTCGGAGGGGCTGCAGTCTACTGGTCGAGCCAGCGCATCAAGTGTGCGACGCTCTCTTCGACCGAGTCAGAGTACGTCGCGGCCACGGAAGCTGGCAAGGAGGCTCGTCGACTCCGGTTCCTACTTGCAGAGTTCCAGCTGTTGAACCCTGGGACGCCGACCGTCCTTCGTGTGGACAACCAGTCGGCCATCACTATCGCGGAAGGCTTAAGGCTGAAGGGCAACCTCAAGCACATGGAGCGACGTTACGCCTGGCTGCAGCAGATGGTGAAGCGCGGGAACTTCGTTCTGCGGTACATCCCGACCACTGAGCAGCCGGCCGAGTTCATGACGAAGGCGCTGCACTTTCCGGCGTTCAACGGGTGCTCCGTCGCGATCGGCCAAGTTCGACTGGCTGACATCGACGACGGTGACGACGATGTGCAGCAGTAGGTGTCGTGCCCTTCTGCTCGGCTGGTGCGGTGACCGGCGTGCTGTGTATTGTGTGCACGCCGAACGATTTTTCCCCTATATTCTATCCCTTGGGTTCTGGGTGGACCTTGTGCATAGGGTGCCGATGCGTGAGCGCGGCAGGGGAGTGTTGAAGGAAGTTGGCCCCGCCCTCGCTTGGGCAAAACTGACTTCGTGGTCGGGTGTGTGGGAGATGCAGCCGACCCTCTGCGCGAGATCTGGAGCTTCTGCGCAGGTTGGGTTGCCTGTACACGAGGTGTACTAGGGAACCCATGCAAGAGTAACTGAAGCATCAGCGAGTGCAACGCAAACGTCTCGTGCACATGTGCGAGTGGCGCAGCTGGTGCAGAGGTTCGCGGGTGTTCATCTGCGCAGGGTCGCGTCTGACCATGCGCACCCTCGCGAATGCACAGGCGAATTTTGGCTAGAAATTCGAATGTGCCCTAATGTCGACCAATAAGGAGCTGGAATTTCGAAATGTCGACCGAGGTGGTCGACGAAGGTGTGTCGACGAAGTTCGTCGACCGCGACGACGAGAGTCGTTGACAGCGACGACGAGGGTCGTCGACCGTGACGACGAGGGTCGTCGACCGCGACGACGAGGGCCGTCGACCGCGACGACGAGGGTCGTCGACCGCGACGACGAGGGTCGTCAACCGATGATGACGAAGGTCAACGACCTGGAGGGTTACTTGCTCGACGAGGTTCTGCGGAGGTGCGCGAATGTCGTCGAGGCTGCTGTGGCGAAGTCGACCGACGTGGCAGCACGTGGTCGACGTGGCTCATCAGGTGCAACTGTCTGCATGTGGCCGACCTGGCACGTGCGCGACAGTGCACGTCGTGCGTAACTGTCTACAAGCACCTGCGAATTAGGTGCTTGCACATGCGCTTACAATCACCTGCGGGTGCAGCGTTGGCAAGCCGCGCGGGTGCAGCGTTGGCAAGCCGCGCTGGTGCATCGTTGGCAGGCCGCCATTCTGCAGCGTTGGCAAGCCGTGCACGAGCTGCGTTGGCGGGCCGCAGACTTGCTACGTTGGCAGGTCGACGACTTTGTCGTGCTGGCGGTCGACCTGCCTGTGCACTAGCAAACCCTGCATCAGATGTAGTCAATCTTTGCCATTGCTTATTCATTCTGAACTCCGTATTCTCAACTTTCATAGTGAAATTCTTCCTGTTTTACCCTGTGAACACACAAGTCCTAGAGAACACAGACAGAGCTACGATCACTCTTACAAACCTTGCCAACCCCATAGTCTAGCTCCCACCGTTGTAGAGTTGATCTCCTCACCTCTCCCCAACCACCTTCAGTAGGACCACTCCAATGCAATTTTGCGTCGCCCCCACGTCAACCTCTAACACCACCGCACTTCCTGCGTTTTTTCACACCCAGACAGTGTACCTTTAGGGGCACAGCCGCTGCCAGCTTCATCTCTCACAAACAACGGCTTGTAATCGATCGCGCTACGTGCCAACCAGTTTTGAGGCCCTAGCTATCTCTCTCACTGTAACGGGCTCCAGTAGCCACCTTTGAAATTGCAGCGAGGCCGCTTCGAATGTCTTTAGCGCCATCCTTAGCTGCACCCCACTCCCAACCCAACCCTCTCTCCAGCAACTCTATCCCATTCAGTTTGCAAGTGCCATCCCCCTAAGCCCTCCACTAAGTTTCTCAACATCGGTTGACAAATTCCCACCTTAATTCCGTGAACTGAATCTGCTGTGCTTCACCTCACTCTTGTGCTTCCGTGAATTAATTCCCTATCCCTAACCTAGTGGCTTTTTCAAATTAAGGTTGAAATAATATTGTTATGTTGTATGGTCACATTCTCCTTATGATTGTAATGGGAGAGCTTTAGTTTCCACGTCAGAAAGTTTTGGAGCTCTAGTTTCAACCTTGCGATTGGTCGAAGCTGCCCGCTTCTATATCTGCCGCCAATGGACCTCCAAAGCGAGCACGGTTCACGCGCAGAAAGGCAGCCCTGCAGTTGCGAGGGTAAGTAACACGTCGTCACTCGTTTTCGCTGAAGGTGCTACGATACCTTGCAGTGTGGCGAGTGGTCGCCTGGCATGTCTCTCATCGCTAAAGGTCCCCCATTCTTCGTGAAGCGGTCCCATTTTATATTGTCGAGGATGGTGGCGGGCTTCTGGTTCCCCCCAAATTTGCGCCACGTCCTCTCACGAACCTTTCATCCGTGTTTGACGGGCTGTATGTCATCACGACCTGTCAAAGCAGCAGGCTTGTGCTTGGGGGCGACATGTCCACAAGGAATGGATCCGCGGTCCGGCGGCAGCCGTACTGCATGCACAATCTCCAAATCTCTTCGCCCCAACTACAGCTCCCTCGCACTCACCTCCTCTTGGCGTCGCGGCGCGTCGCATGTACCTCCATTCCAATTGACTTTCCTAGTGCGCCCATTTCGGCCCCCTCTGCTTGTTCTGTGGGCTTCTCGGTTGCCTTTCGATTTCTCCGCTTCGACAGGACATCATCACCAGCAGTAGACCATACGAAGCCACATCCAGTCATTGTCAACGCCCTTCACATGCACACAACACAACCTGTCGCACTTCTCCATTCGGACGTTCTAAAAAAAGAACGTCATTGTAGCTTCAACTTCCTAAGGAAGGCTGGTTAGCTTCGAATGCACAAGAAACCTCCCTCCTACTAGCAGACTGGTTCCTCGCACCTGTCTCAGCCGTCGTGCTAAGACCTAGTGATCCTCTAAAAAGCAGTGTGACCTGCTATCACTTTCGCCTCTCTTCCTCACGCCTGTCTTAGGGCCTGCCGTAGCCCAGACATGGCAATCCGTCAAGCTCACGCGGAAGAGGATGACAGTACAGACCTGTTTGAGCTCGATTTGTCCCAAGTCGAATTAAAGAAAGATGCGAAACGCGAGAAACTAGCGACCTCTAGCTCCGCTAGCCGACTTTTCGCCCCGACGAAATCCTCTCTTGCGAAGACTCTCTCGAAAGGGCGAAACAGCGGCGATGTCACCAGCGGGCACGAAAAGCCGCGGCCAGCATCCGAGAGAATGTCTTTGGAGAGACGTCCCGCAACCAACCACTCCAAGTTCTCTTCCCCTTCCCCTTCCGCCTGCGCCTCCCCGCACGCCTCCCCACCCGCATCCCCCCGTGCTGCAACCGGCCGGCGTCGCTCCGACGTCTCCGAGAATCTCGCGCTCCGCTTAAGCCGGCAGCAGGACGGCAGAGGAACTCCTGCTAGCTCCCCGCCAGTGTCGCCGCGATGGTCGGTAATTAGCTCCGAGCCACGGTCGCCTCGATCTCCGCGCTTGGCGGTGACCGGAGCGAAGAGGCAGCCTCTTGTCCAAAACGCGGCTAGCCACCGTGGCCCCTCTTCCCTGAGCAAGGCTGGCACTGGCGTGAGCGGCGGCGGCGGCGGCGGAGGCGGAGGCGGTGGCTGTAGGGTTAAGGTTGCAGAGGCGGCTGATTCAAGCACCAGTAATGCTCGTCACCGAGGCGAACACACGCGCGAGCATGCGACGCGGGGGGACGCGAAGGGCGGGCGCGGCGGAGTGGGCGCGCGGAACTCCTGTGGCACAGCGGCAAGCGGGAGCGGGAGTGCCGCTTGCGGAAACTCTGGGGGCGGGGGTGGTCCGCGCTCGCCGCGGCAAGACAGCGGCCGACAGGAGAATCGTTTTAAGAGCCGTGATGCGGACGACGCGGAGAGGGAGCGGCGAGCGAAGAAGGCGGAGAGACCAGTGGGTGGTTATGGTCCTGGCCGTGCGGATTCAGATGCGAGATTATTGTCCAAGGTGAGCTGGATGAGGTTCAGGTCTCAAGCTACGAGTGTCATGTTTTTTTGGGTTCACAAATCACTGATTACGAGTATAATTTATGTTCCCTGCCCGTCACTCCTTTTTCCAAGGTACTTAATCGTATTTTATTCTCCGCGTTGCCATTCCGTACCCTCAGCCTGCTCTAGCCTCCTCTGGTGAGCGACCTCTGCCGACGCATCATGGCGATGATTTTGAGTCAGTCGCGGGCCATCACACGCCGGTGAAGGACTTGTCGCAGATATCGCACATGGGTGTGGGACGAGAGGAGGGCAGCCCGGTTTCGGTGCTGGATGTGGGATTGCGACGTAGTGACGAGAGCGACTCCGAATGCAATAGTGGCGAATTATTCGCTGGTGAGTGGCGAGTTGCTCTTCTGAATTCACGAAAGCAGTTTGGTTTGGGACTTAGAATTTATATTATACCACCAACTACAATCTGTTTCAAGAAATGTTTCAAACAACCAGAAGTGTTCCTGGTTGTATCCTTTGTGTAATCACCAGTCATCGTCGTCTAAGGTTTTTCCTTACTTTTCATCGCTTTTTCCCCTTTCTAATCAGATCGCTCCGTCAACTCCGTCACAGAGTGCTACCCAGACGCGACCGCCGCACTACGGCAGCCGTCGCACGCGTCGCTCGCGTCTCCCAGCCAACATGGCGATGTCGCCGTGGACCTCCTCCGCCTGTCGCCGCAAGACATCGTCGGTGACGTGGCAGGCATGGAGCAGGATCTCGAGTATGTGCGCCATGTGCTCCTCATCTCCGGATTTGGCGGGCCGTCTTTACCGCCAATATTTTCGCGAAACCTCCCGATAAACCCGGTGGTTTTCGAGCAGCTGGAGTACGGTGGTTTGAGATTACGGGACAGCTGTCCCAACACTTTCCGTCCTCGCTATCAGCGTCGTCGTTATCGAGTACAAGCCCTTCCTTGATAGGCCTGACAAGCCCAGTCGCTTCTTCCACCGTCGGAGCAGCAACAGGCGCGTCTGCTGGTGCACCTGGCGCGGGGGTTTCGCGGCCGCCATCTCCGTCGCTCTTTCCGCTCCCCAGCTTCGCCGTCGGCGCGCAGAACACGTCGGAGGAGCGCCGCCAGCGAATGCTGCTGTTCGACGCGGTGAACGAAGCGCTGGGCCGCACGCTCGCGCCTTATCTGGAAGAGCTGCAAGCGCAAAATGAAATAAATGGCTATTCGGGTCGGCCTTCGCAACTATTCGCAGATACTAATACTGGTGGTGACGGCCTGTGGGAGTTGGATAACGGTGCGTCGTTTTTCGCCTCTTGCTGCTCCGCATCGCGCAAGCCCGCGCTTCTCCGTCCGCGCCCCATCGGCCGCCAGCTGCTGCAGCGCGTGTGGGCGGAGGTGCACAGCTGGCCGGTTGCGCCGTCGGATGACGTGTACGACATTCTCGATGACGCGGCGAGGAGGGATATGGTGCGCGGAACCGAGCGCTGGTCCGCGGAGGAAGTCGCAGCTGCGGAGGTTCCGCAAGTAGTGTTTGCGCTAGAATCCGCGGTGTTGGAGCGCGCGCTGGAGGAGATTTGCCGCGAGTTTGCGGAAATTGAGGGAGAGCGCGCGCTGTCGAGACAGCGAAGGCTGAGCGCGAATGGCGCCGCGGAGGGGGTGTGCGCGGGGAAAGCTCCGGGGGGAGGACTGCGGAAAGGCGGGAGTGGTACTGAGAGAAGGTGGCTGCCCAGGCGGTTAAATTTCTGATTGTAACGAGGACAATCAGGATATTACACGAAAATTCGGTTTGAGTGAAACTGCACTTCAGATTTTAGCTCCGTTCTCAAGGTTTTAGTTATAATAAAGTTTGTGGCTGTAGAGATTTATTAATATGAGGTGGTCCAGGCAAAGCTTGGGTGGGAGTAGGCTAACACCCACACGTTACAGCGCTTCTTGTATTTTAGGGGTCATTAAGGATGTCATTTCTTGGGCTAATACATCCTAGCTTATCAACTATTGCAGTGTGATTGAGCTGGGAGAAAGATAAATCACAAGCATATCAATAATGCAAATGACAATTTCCAGAAGTATATGCATTAACAGGTGATACGGTATATAGCCATCTCAACTTGCAAGACCATACACGATTCTCATGTCTCGCACGATTCTCATTTCTCGATACACTCTGAACGCAATCTCTCCACTAGCAACTTCCTAGATTCACCTTCCACCGACACCACCGACCTACCATCCTCTTCCCCATCCCCACCGTTCCCCACTCCTCCATCCCCCACGTGCCTCGCCATACCCCGGTAAAGACAGTGCAACTCTTGAATGTGCCTATCGTATATTTGCGTGCCGGCGCCTCTCTTTTTTAGTTGCCTCCACCGCTGCCTGTCCCATGCGTAGCGCCAGATGTGTGTCTGCGGCTGCACTCCCTCGCACCCTGCCAGCTCGCCTGGCACAGGGGAGGAAGGGAAGGGGGAGGATGTGGAGGTAAGATCATGAGAACGCAGTGAGAAGGAACTGCCTTCATCGCTGCCTGTCCCATGCGTAGCGCCAGATGTGTGTCTGCGGCGGCACTCCCTCACACCCTGGGAGTTCACCTGGCACCAGGTGGCTGGACGGGTGGGGAAAGAGGGACAAGGTCGAGGAAGAGGAGAGAAGGAACTGTCTCCACGCTGCCCGCCCCACGTGTAGCACCAGATGTGTATCTGCGTCTGTACTCCCTCACACCCTTCCAGTTCACCTGACAAAGAGGGGTGGGGGGAGAGAAGGAGGAAGTGGAGGTAAGAGGATCTGGTGGGGGGGAGGGAGGAGAGAAGCCGAGGAAGAGGAGAGAATGAGCTGCCTGCAATGCTGCCTGCAACGCTGCCTGCCCTATGTGTAGCGCCCGAGAAGGGAGGGACGAGGTTGAGGAAGAGGGGAGACGGAAGAAGCCGGGGAAATAAGAGGAGAGAATGAGCTGTCTCTGCGCCTCCTGACCCATGCGTAACGCCTAATGTGCGCCTGTGGCTGCACCCCCTCACACCCTTCCAGCTCATCTGATGGCGGGCGACTTTGAGACGTCTCAAAAGTCGGCTGCACTCCCTCACAGCCTTCCAGCTCATCTGATGGCGGGCGGGTGCGAGGCGGTGGAGGAGCGGAGGAGAGAGAGATGGAGAGAAGAACACGCGGAAGCTTTTCGACGCCTAATGTGTGCCTGCGGCTGGAAGGGGGGGGAGGGGAGGGGAGAGAGGGGCAAATATGGGAGGAGGTGAGAAGAGGCTCCCAGCGTAGCGCCAAATGTGTGCCTGTCCCATGCGTAACGCCAGATGTGTGCCTGAGGCTGCACCCTCTCACAGCCTGCCAGCTCACCTGGGACCGGGAGGGAGAGGGAGGGAGGAAGGAGGCAGATGAAGAAAGCGGTGAAACATAGTCTATGACTTTTGAGACGTCTCAAACGAGGGCTTTTGAGACGTCTCCTTCCTCCCTCCCTCTCCCTCCCGGTCCCAGGTGAGCTGGAAGGCAGATGAAGAAAGCGGTGAAACATGGTCTATGACTTTTGAGACGTCTCAAAAGAGGGAGGGAGGAAGGGGGCAGATGAAGAACGCGGTGAAACATAGTCTATGTAATTAAATACTCGTCCCTACCTCGTTCCCTTTCTCCCCCCTTTTCTACTTAGTAACCCCTCTTGGGTTCACCCAAAAGCCCTTCAAATTTGAAGTACAGATATAGACATATGTACGTATGTATATATGTATGTGTGTGAGTGTGTGTGTGTATGTATGTATGTATGTATGTGTGTATGTATGTATGTATGTATGTATGTATGTATGTATGTATGTATGTATGTATGTATGTATGTATGTATGTATGTATGTATGTATGTATGTATGTATGTATGTATGTATGTATGTATGTATGTATGTATGTATGTATGTATGTTTGTATGTGTGTATGTATGGAGCAGCAGCGGCCGCAGCAGCGCTTCACCCGGTGGCAGGGAGTGGCAGATGGTTTCTTTCTGGTAGTGCGCGGCCGTTTGCACAAAGGAGAGGTTGAGCTTAGAGCCCGGGTCAACTGGCGAGCCCCCGAGGTCTTTGAAGAGGTTGGTGTAGGGCAGATGCACGCCCACTCGCGGGATGGGCGTGTGGTCCGTCCACTCCATTGCGAATTCCATCTGTAAGGAGGGGAAGGGGATGACATGGCAGGGAAGAGGTGGGGTGATTGAATAGAGCTGGCATCAACGGGCGAGCCCCCCCCAGGTCCTTGAACAAATTGGTGTAGGGCAGATGCACGCCCACTCGTGGGATGGGCGTGTGGTCCGTCCACTCCTTTTAGTCGACTCAAAAGTCACCTCGTTACAATGGCAGTCGACTCAGAAGTCAGAATGGGTGTGTATGTGCGCGGTCCTTGTGCACACAACACAATGGGTTCAAGCTGACTTTTGAGTCGACTCAAAAGTCACAATGGGTCCTTGTGTCATTGTGTTTTAAGTCGTCCCTGAGAGCCCTCACATTCTGGCCTGCTTCTGTGTCTCACCTTATCCCTCTCGTTGTTCCACAGGTAGTTTCCCATCACAGTGTGGGCAATCTGATCCCTGCACACCGCACAGCACCGCACAGCACAGCACGGCACCAAGCAACAGCATAGCACAGCACAGCACAGCACGGCGCAGCACGGCACAGCACAGCACAGCACAGCACAGCACAGCACAGCACAGCACAGCACAGCACAGCACAGCACAGCACAGCACAGCACAGCACAGCACAGCACAGCACAGCACAGCACAGCGCAGCACAGCGCAGCACAGCGCAGCACGGCACAGCACAGCACAGCACCGCACAGCACCCCACCCCAGTGCACCACACCACATCACAGCCACGCGCCACACACAGCAGCCATAAAAAAAGGCACGGAAGGCATTTCGAAAGATGTGTAATATCAAAGGAGTTATTCACATGACAAACAACAAAGAACGGTTACAGAGAGGGGCCACCAAGGCTTTTACTGTAATGTATGTACTGCATATACCCATCCCACCCACCCCATCCCACCCCATCTCACACCATCACACCACATCCCACACACTTCCACCGACTCCCACCCCATTTCACCCCATCCCTTCTCATCCCATTACATTGAATAAAGGTGGGGGGGGGGGGGAGGGGAGAGAGAGGGGGGTGAGGGGGGAGGGGCTAGGGGGAGGGGCGGGGGGGATGGTGGGTCTCTTCACATATGTTGGTCAAAATGCTGACTGGGATCGCGATTTCACAATTTGCTTCAAAATGAAAGAGCAATTTCAACAATTTGTTCTCGTCAGCACTGAAAAAATAAGTGTAGGCGTCATGCGTAAACGCCAGCATCTGACATAGCGTGTCAAAAAGCTGCGTTTTGAAGCTTGATGTTCCAGCCTGGGAGCGTCAGAACCCACTCAGAAATTTCCATCCCATCCACTAAGCATCCCATCCCATCCCATCCCATCCCATCCCATCCCATCCCATCCCATCCCATCCCATCCCATCCATCGCATCCCATCCCATCCCATCCCATCCATCGCATCCCATCCCATCCCATCCCATCCCATCCCATCCCATCCCATCCCATCCCATCCCATCCCATCCCATCCCATCCCATCCCATCCCATCCCATCCCATCCCATCCCATCCCATCCCATCCCATCCCAGCGCATCCCAACCCAACGCCTGATGTTCCAACCTGGACGCGTCAGCGCCAAACCCCACTCAGAATCCCAGCCCTTACCCCCTCACCTGTACTGCCCGCCGTGCTCCGCCCACCACTGCACGGCCTCGTCATACCCCCCTGCCATCTTGGGATGGGACGCACCCACCACCACCCACCCGGTACCCCCTCACAGCCTACCCCCATCCCCTCACCCACTCCCTCACAGCCTACCCCCATCCCCTCACCCACTCCCTCACAGCCTACTGGGGGCCAAAATGAGCAACAGCACAATAGCCCTCACCTGTACTGCCCGCCGTGCTCCGCCCACCACTGCACGGCCTCGTCATACCCCCCTGCCATCTTGGGATGCGCCGCACCCACTGCATCTCTATACCCGCTCACAGCCCCCCGCGGCAGCAGCAGCGGCAGCTGAACCATGAAGTTGCCGGCATAGGCGCGGCGACCCAGGAGGAAGTCGGTGGAGGGGCGGTGGTAGCCTTGGTCCTTGCTGCCTATCAGGTAGGGGCGGCCCTGGGATGAGTCTGAGAGGTTAAAGAGGAGAAAAGGGGTGACCTGGACGAGGGAGGACGGGGGGGTGGGGTGGGAAGAAAAGGGAGAGCGAAAGATTTGAAGACCGGCACCAGCAGCAGCAGCAGCGCGCCCCTCACGCCCCCCTGGACAGCAGCAGTGGCAGCAGACCGAGAAGGAAGTCCATGGAGGGTTTAAGGTTTAGGGCGGTGGTAGCCTTTGGTCCTTGCTGCCTATCAGGTAGGGCCGGCCAACTGGAGATTGGTTTCCTTGGGTCCTTGGCATGGGTCTGAGAGGTTGAAGAGCAGGAATGGGGTCACCTGGAGGAGGACAAGAAAAGAGGCGGGGACGGGAGGGAGGAAGGGGTTGGGGGGAGGGTGAGGGATCACCTTGAGGTTGAAGATGACGTCACCTTGATGTTGTTGTCCGACGTCACCTGAGGTTGACTATGACGTCACCTTGAGGTTGATGGTGACGTCACCTTGAGGTTGACTATGACGTCACCTGAGGCTGACTATGACGCCACCTTGAGGTTGATGGTGACGTCACCTTGAGGTTGAAGATGATGTCATCATCTGCGATGGCGACGAATGGTGCTGAAGTGTAGTTGTCCACCCAGCCGTAGCTCCACTGCTGGAGAATCTTCCCAGGAAGCTTCAGGTAGTTGCGCTCGTATTTCACCTGGAAGGAGTGCAGTAGGGGAAGGAAACTTCCTACATTCAGTAGTGTATTGGTAGTCAGCATACAAAGTTTAGGGCATGTGATACTTATATACCATCATAAAAACTAGAATCACATCACCATTTCATACATTGCAGTCTCAACTACCTACCTGCCTACCATCGCTGCTTGAAACCGCATTCACCTGCACCCAGGGCGGCATGAGGTGCATTGCCACGTCATCCCCTTCATCCAGCACGACCACCACACGGCCAATCCCGCGCGGCCACATCAGCTCCACTGACGTCAGCAGGGAGTAAAGCAGGAAGAGCTTTTCAGAGAGGTAGCTTCGAATCACAAGGTCGACTTTTCCGGGCCAGAAGGGGCTGATACGGAAAGGAAGGTTGGGAAAAGGGACCAAGGGGGCGGGAGGGGGGGGCGGGGGTGGGAGTGGGCAGTGAGGAACAAGCAATAAAGTGCATTTCCAAAAGGACGGCTCGAAAGGTCGACTTTTCCAGCCTAGAAGGGGCTGCAAAAGCGGAACGGGGGGGAGGAGGGAGTGTGGGGTCATGGACGCGTACAAATGCACGTCCCACGCCATGAGCCTACAAATGCACGTCATCAACTTACCGGTACACGTCATCAACGAGGGCGAAGAAATCCGAGACGCATATCCCCGCTTTAGTCACTCTCTCGCACCGCCGCCCTCCCCCGTACCCATCACCACCGTACGCGTGGCGCTCGCTCAGCCCTCCATCTGCTCTACCTCCTAAACCACGCAATTCCCCGTCTGTCGAGTCGCCAGCTTCTGTACTACGGCTTCCCGAGGCGCTTTGTGGCGCGCTCGAAGCGCACGAGACTTGGAGCCAGTTTAAGATCCACTCGCGCGCCCCGCTGCCGGCGCCGCTTTTCGCGGTGAACGATGCGAGGAGGAGGAGCGAGAGGATGGAGAGGAGGAGAACGCAGCCGACGGTGCGGCGGACGCGCTGCTGATAGGCCGCTGCGCGGAGTCGCGCCTCCATATTCTAAGTCTGCCGACGCGTCGCACTCGATAGTAAACTCAGACGCGCTGCTGATAGGCCGCTGCGCGCAAACGCGCCTGCATCATATCGCTAGTTTAGGCGCTCGAAAGTTACAACTTAATTTTATCAATGTGTCAGTCTAAGCACGGCAAAACCAATGTAGGGGATCTAAGCTCTACAAGGTACATTCAGACGCTGTCGTCAGCCGAAAACGCCAGGGGTCGATTGCGATTCGTGAATCACTGTTAGGATTTCTTATAAGGGCCCAGGCACGAGCTCCCGTCGTGACCGTTGAAGCCCGAGCTTTGGCACTCTGCTGAGCTAGTGCTTGAGACGAAAGCATGCCAGTAAATGATAGAAATGCGTGATAGTTATAAGACCTAAACAACTAGGCTACCGCATCCCCTGCCTAGCATGGGGGGGAAGTCAATAGCCTAGCATTTAAGTCATACAACTATCACATGAATACAACACAATCTGTGTGATATAAAAAAAAGGTCAATTCCATCAAATCCCGTTCAAGTGGACACACTCGCTGAGTGCGCAAAAAACGTTCTCGGAAATGATAGTCTGATCCTATTTTTTAAAACCCACAGACATGCATTGCTAATGCAATGAATGAATGAGTATAGATGAATACACACACACAGAAACCTCAATCCACACCAAAACAAGTCAAAGCATTAACAATAGAAGGTGCAAAACAAGATACAACAAATATAATAATAATGACTTTTGCGAATCACCAATCCCCTACTCCCACTTTGCAGAATTATCTTGGCTTCCTGAAATGTACAATATGGTTTTTGATATAGAGGAAATGGGAAGGCAAAAATAGGGAGGATAGGAGAGAGAAAAAAATGCCAGTTTCAACACGAACTTTATCAAGCAATGAGAGTAAGGAAGGAGACAAGTACAACAAAAACATGTTGTCAGGTAAGAAGGAAAAAAAATGGCTGAGAAAGAAGGAAAACAAATGAGAGGAAGAGAGAAAATGTATCATATGGAAAGCCATAGGTTTAACAACAAAACTGCGAGTTCCCTTTCTTTCTCTCCCTAAACCCTGCCACTTTCTCTGCCGCTGCTCTTATGCTCTATCCCTCTCTCAAAGAGGAAATCAAAATCAAAATATTTTGGAAAACAAGAGTCATAAAATACATATTGGACAGAATGAAGGAAGAAGGAAGGAAGGAAACAATAAACAATAGAGGTAAAGGGAATAATTTAAGAGTTTCAAGTCCTGTTTTTACTTATATTTTTTAGATAACATGCGTTTCACAAACAGAACAATGAAACACAAATTGAAAAAGATGTATCATATGGAAAGCCATAGGCTGAAATCTCACCGTTAATAAGATGGGGGAATGAGACCAGCATGCTAAGCGTTTCCTGCAAACACATGAGGGAACATATACATAAATGAATAGGTACAAAACACAGACATAGGAAAATAGAAAGCATGAAACAAAAAAGAGGGAATGGGTGGAGAAAACAATAAAACAGGAAACAGAACAATAGGGAAGAATAAAATAAAACTCAACTATCAATTCACTACGAGCTTGTAACTAGCTGGTCAAGAGGGGATGGAAGGAGGTGAGTGTTGGGGGGAGGGAGGAGGTGGGGGTGATGTTGAGAGGAAAAATACAGCAGGGTGGAGAAAGGAGAAAAAGATCGAGGACAAAGTAGAGTGAACAACTTAAGAAGGAACACCTTAAGAAAGATAATGAGAAGCTAGATATAACGGGTCAGAAACTAGGGCAAGAAAGAGAGAAGGGAAATATAGAAGCAGGTATGGTATACAATAAAGTAAGGAAAAAGGGAGAATTGGAAGGAGTTGAATAGGAAAGGTATAAGAGATATGGGACTAATGAAAGACACAAGGAAGAAATGGAGGAAAGAAAAAAGTACAGCAAAAACAACCAATCCGACATACAATATTGCGTCGAGTTACAATTGATGCTGCATATACAATCTTGAACTTCTCTTGAGGACCTGCGAAAAAAAAAGAAGCAATATTGGAAGTTAAAGAAGATAGACCCTGCACTAACAACGACGGCAAACATAATCAGAGTCTTAAAAACAAGCACTAGCAGAAAGTCGAAACGAATATCCCTCTTAAACTCGACCCATCACATATGTGGAAATTGACTTCAACAAAACAAAACGGCACAGAAGATAGGACGGTTGCATTCCTTGGCGGAGGATAAATAGGAATGGTAACTAGGTCGAAAATGACTGCATCTTTAAATCGACATAGCAAGGTGCAATCAACCTTGAAATTTGGATGTTATAATGTTGGCTAAACGAAACGGAAGGGAGAGCGGAGGTCCACGGTTAGACGGACGGATGAACGGTTACAAACTAAAAGGACGGAAGTATAGAGTAGAAACTTCAAGGACGGTATGATCTGCAGTAATAACGTCAGCCAAGAGGTAGTCGCGACTCACAACAGCTTCTAGTCTTACCTTAAAGATGAAATAAGATCTTAAACTTTAGTACGTACAACTAGATGCGATTAGAAGAGAAGCTACGGTATCTGGAGTCGTCAGAGTGGCGAGTAGGTAGATGAAGTCGTAGGAGTAGCTGAAGTTGCGGGAATTGAAGGGGACAGGCAGAGAAAAAGGAAGAAGAAGATTGGAAACCTAACAACATTCCCGTCAACTAAATTATGGGTATAAATTTCCAGAACTCAACTTGCAGTGTTGTTAGCGCAGTCGTTTGTGTTTCGGCCATCAATCAAGTAGTCTCAGGTTCCAATCTGGCAAGACGCGATTAGGTTTCTTGTGGCAGTTTCTAATTTTGTAGTCTATCAACAAGTACACTTGAAACATATTCTTCAGATTTCATACAGCAATACAAGATTACGTAAATAAAAGGCAAAACGCTTCGCAACCCTACGACGACTTCGTCGCCTCTTGTTTTTTTTTTTTTTTTGATATCAGAATACATTACATGAATGTATAGACATCGGCAGTCGTAACTGTAATGTTGAGGGGAGCGCTACAATAGCTAGTATTGCAGATCCCCTCTAAGGCAGCTACGGTGGCTGATGCGTCAGCCTGGGGTTGTCTCTTCTTCAGTGTATGTACGTACGTATCCCTGTTACCGATGTATGACGCGGGCGCTCGCTTAATCTTGTGGGCGAACTCTCACGAAAAGAAGAGCAGCTCTCGCTCACGGTCGACAACGCCGCCACGGGCGAAGTGACGCTTTTGACAGGGGACAACGCAAGCGTGCGAAAAGTTTGTCGCCAGTCTTAAACCCTTCTTGCGTAGATGGAGAAAATTGATACCGTATTCCCTATAGCAACGAATACACCCCCTTAGTTTAATCTTTAGATATACATATATATAAAAATTCTGTATCGCACAGCACTCCTCCAAACTACACCCAAAGCTTCAAATTCCTGAAGCACATCTCCCCATGACTCACATGATCCCCGCAACCATTCTAAACTGCGACCACCTCCTCTCTATGCTTCTCAAATCATTCCCCCTCACCCCATAACCTTCCAAACAGGACAACGGTGAGCTACCGGTCTGATAATTTTGAACATGGAAACAGTTGTAATGTAAAGCCCTCCTTCAAACTACACCCACAGCTTCAAATCTCTGAAGCACATCTCCCTATGGCTCACATCATCCCCGCAATCATTCGGCACTGCAACCACCTCCTCCCGATGCCTTGCAAACCACTCCCTCTCCCCCATCACCTTCCACACAGGCGGAAACAACCACCGCGACAACACGCCAACGTTCGACCCCGGCTCCCCCTCCTCAACCATCCTCGTTATAGCCTCATTCAGTCCCACTTTTAAGCTCTCCGAAGCGGACAGCGAGTGCGCGAGCGAGTTTCTATGCGCCACGGCTGCTCTTTCCCGAAAATCTTCCAACGCGAGAACAGCCCACTCTTTCGGCATCAGGAGAATCGGCCGTGACTGACGAAGGGCGGCAAACCAAGGGGAGAAATAGCCTAAATCGGAACGAGAGATGGGTAGAGTGCGTTTAAGTTTGCTGTCGATTTTGTTGTTAGCGGGCGGCGGTGGTTGGGAGGAAGGGACGGAGGAGGGGAGAACTGCGTTGTACTCTGGAGGGAGGAAAGGGAGTGGGTCTTGCAGCCATACGGAGGAGATGTCACTGCAGTGGGTGGGGAAGAGGTAGAGGATTGACAATAGGGTTATGCAAGGAGAAGGAGGAATGAAAAGGAGTACCCCAGCCAGAAAACAATGTTACAATGTACCGTACGTGTAGCCAACAAGAATACCTCTTCCAGACCTGTAGATGACACTGTTATTGAGTTGAACTTGAGTACCCGCTCCAACAGACACTGATTCACTCCTTCCAAGGTGAATTTTGAGTCGACTCAAAAGTCACCTCCGCAACGAGGGAGTTTAGCTGCCCACAAACAGTGCCATGCTACTGCACCAAAACTTGTACTGTAGTTTACTGTACCTGTAGATGACATAGTAGTCGAGTTTCAACACCTGCCCACAACAGTGTCATGCTACTGCACTGTACTGTACCTGTACTGTATCTGTAGACAGCAGCATAGCAAGGGTTCACTGTGCATGGTAATGCTATAAGCACCGCATGGTAATGAGCAGCGAGGGCAGCAGCAGACACGTGAGGGCTGCCTTGTGATTGTAAAGCCCAGTGGGGGGGAATTCATTGTACCTTTACTCCCTTACAGACCTGTGGATGACATTGTAGCCGTTCAACACTCGCTCCATGAGCGTGCAGTGAGGGAGCTGAAGTAACAGTTACAGCAACAGACAGCAACAGCGACAGCAACAGCAACAGCAACAGTGACAGTGACAGTGACAGAGACAGTGACAGTGACAGTAACAGTAACAGTAACAGCAACAGCAACAGCAACAGTGACAGCAACAGCAACAGTGACAGCAACAGTGACAGCAATAGCAACAGTGACAGCAACAGTGACAGCAACAGCAACAGTGCCAGCAACAGCAACAGTGACAGCAACAGCAACAGTGACAGCAACAGCAACAGTGACAGCAACAGCAACAGCAACAGTGACAGCAACAGCAACAGTGACAGCAACAACAACAGTGACAGTAACAGCGACAGGGACAGCAACAGCGACAGCGACAGCGACAGCGACAGCGACAGCGACAGCAACAGCGACAGCGACAGCGACAGCAACAGCAACAGCAACAGTGACAGTGACAGTGACAGTGACAGTAACAGTAACAGCAACAGCAACAGCAACAGTGACAGAGACAGTGACAGTGACAGTAACAGTAACAGTAACAGTAACAGTGGCAGTAACAGTAACAGTGGCAGTAACAGTAACAGTGGCAGTACATTGCAGTACAGAACTGCACCATACAGCACAGCATAGTAATGCACTGTACCTGTAGATGACATTGTAGCCGAGCTTCAACACTCGCTCCATGAGCAGCAAGGGCAGCAGCAGACACGTGAGGGCTGCCTTGTGGTCTGACTCGCTCTCCTCTGGCTGCCTCAACAGGCCTTCACTCGTACCCTCCACCTGTTAAGGGGGAAGGAGAGGGGAGGAAGGATGGCAGGGAGAGCAGCAGCAGGCACGTGAGGGCTGCCTTGTGGTCTGACTCGCTCTCCTCTGGCTGCTTCCCTCAACCTGTGGGGGAAGACGAGGGAGAGAAAGGAATGTAGGGGAGGGAGGAATGGAGCGAGGGCGGGGGAGGGAGGAGAGGAGAGGAAGGAGGGCAGGAAGGGAGGAGGGGAGGGAAGGCAGGGAAAAAAGAGAGGGCAGTAGCACGCATGTAAGGGCTGCCTTAAACGCGGACAAACTCTCCTCTGGCTGCAGAAAGTGCACGGCGTTTAAGCAGTTGGTGTGAGCATCATGACCACCCACATTGCTCTTAACCCACACACTGTCCTTTGGACACGCTTTCCTCACATACCTCTTGGGGCACTGAGGAAATCACGAGACCAGCCATGGCAGCAGAGTGCATGGCGTTGAACCAGTTGGTGAAGAGAGAAGCGATCACATGCCTACAGCATACCCCTTGATGCAAACGATTTCCATGTGCCATACCTCTTGCGGCACTGAAGAAATCACGTGGCCAGCCATGGCAGCAGAGGGCATGGCGTTGAACCAGTTGGTGAAGACATCATGCCCACTCACATTGCTCTTCTGGCACACGTTCCTCAGTCAAAAAGCACATGCCTATGATGTACCTCTTGAGGCACGGAGGCAATCACGTGGCCAGCCATGGCAGCCGAGTGCATGGCATTGAACCAGTTGGTGAAGAGAGGGATTTGACCTGGTAGTGTTTGGGGGAGGGCAGGGGACGGTAAGGGGACAGGGACGGAGAGAAAGGAGATATGGATAGGGAAGGTGGGAGGTGGGGCACTGGAGCAGAGGAAAATGGCGTTGAACGAGTTGGTGCAGAGAAGGGCTTGACCTGGTTGGGGTGAATAGGGAAACATGGAAAGGGAAGGACAGAGAGGAAAGGATAAGGGTGGAAAAGAAGGGAGGAGGGGCAACACAGCAGAGCAGAGTGCGTGTGCATGGGCGTTGAAGCAGTTGGTGAAGAGAGGGACTTGACCTGGTAGTGGTCAGAGGACAGGGGAGAGCACCAGGCGAGGGTAAAAGGGGGGAAAGAGATAGGGAAGATGAGATCATGATGGGAGGTGGGGCAATGCGACGAAAAAGAGTGCATAGCGTTAAGCCAGTTGGCGCATAGCTCGGCTGAGGCAACCATGGGCACGCGAGGGTCCATCTGCTGCAGGTGACGCGGCACCCACAGCTGCAACCACTCCTGCACCCACCCACCCACACCCACACAACCACCTTTCCACCCGTACCTTTACACGCTGCAGTGACGATCACAAAGCGGTCGGCTGAAGCCACCATGGGAACAAGAGCGTCCATCTGCTGCACGTGGCGCTGCACCCACGGCTGCACGGACAGCAGCACCACCTCCTCCTCGGATACATGCATCTCAGGACACAGCAGCCCCACACAGAAGGGCTCCTTGTCCCCTGCACCCAAACCGCTGCTTCTGCTACTGCTGCTGCTGCTGAGGGCGCTGGTTTTGCTGGTACTAGGCCATTTGCTGTCCTCGTTAGAAGAGGAAGAAGCAGGACCAGAGTTCGACCCTGCTCCTGCTGCCGCTTCACCCGAGGTTCCCCCGTCTCCTGCTGTCGCTGCTGCTGCTACTTCCCCTCTTTCTCCTCCTGCTGTTGCTTCTGTCCCTCCACTCTCCCCTTCTCCACCTCCTGCTGCTGCTGCTGCTGCATCCGACTCTGTGATCCAAAACCCTAATTTGTTCAGAGCATACCTCTTTGCATCTTTTCCTATCAGCCCGCCCGCGTGCACAGTCACCAGCTCTCCCTTCAAAGCCTCCACCGTCGCCCAATCATCCTCCAGTAGCAGCTGCCCGGACAAAAATTTCTGCGCGGGCAGCACGGCAATTCTCGGCAAAAGACCGTACTTGTCCATTTCTACTATAAGCGCATTCAAGTGCTCCTGCTCTGTTCCTTCGTCCCGCCCTAACTTCATCACCCTATTCGCCCAGTCTCCCACCAAACACTTAGCCCCCGACGTTGGGCGGAAAAAAAGCAGCGAGCTCGAAACAGAAAGTTTCCGGGCAGCTAGGTTCGCGACGCCGTAACTCTCCACTAGAACCGCTTTCTTCTGCCAATTCGACTCGTACCCGTCAAACGTGAGAGCAATGTCAAACGTCTGTTTCGGATCAGCGTTGATTTCTGGTAGAGGGTTGCGCAGCATGGCGACGTCTGTGTCGGAATAGAGGAGGTTGAATCCGAAGGAGAGGAGGTGGAGCAGGTGGGCACGAGGGGGAGGGAGTGGGATGGGCACGAGGGGGAGGGAGTGGGATGGGCACGAGGGGGAGGGAGTGGGATGGGCACGAGGGGGAGGGAGTGGGATGGGCACGAGGGGGAGGGAGTGGGATGGGCACGAGGGGGAGGGAGTGGGATGGGCACGAGGGGGAGGGAGTGGGATGGGCACGAGGGGGAGGGAGTGGGATGGGCACGAGGGGGAGGGAGTGGGATGGGCACGAGGGGGAGGGAGTGGGATGGGCACGAGGGGGAGGGAGTGGGATGGGCACGAGGGGGAGGGAGTGGGATGGGCACGAGGGGGAGGGAGTGGGATGGGCACGAGGGGGAGGGAGTGGGATGGGCACGAGGGGGAGGGAGTGGGATGGGCACGAGGGGGAGGGAGTGGGATGGGCACGAGGGGGAGGGAGTGGGATGGGCACGAGGGGGAGGGAGTGGGATGGGCACGAGGGGGAGGGAGTGGGATGGGCACGAGGGGGAGGGAGTGGGATGGGCACGAGGGGGAGGGAGTGGGATGGGCACGAGGGGGAGGGAGTGGGATGGGCACGAGGGGGAGGGAGTGGGATGGGCACGAGGGGGAGGGAGTGGGATGGGCACGAGGGGGAGGGAGTGGGATGGGCACGAGGGGGAGGGAGTGGGATGGGCACGAGGGGGAGGGAGTGGGATGGGCACGAGGGGGAGGGAGTGGGATGGGCACGAGGGGGAGGGAGTGGGATGGGCACGAGGGGGAGGGAGTGGGATGGGCACGAGGGGGAGGGAGTGGGATGGGCACGAGGGGGAGGGAGTGGGATGGGCACGAGGGGGAGGGAGTGGGATGGGCACGAGGGGGAGGGAGTGGGATGGGCACGAGGGGGAGGGAGTGGGATGGGCACGAGGGGGAGGGAGTGGGATGGGCACGAGGGGGAGGGAGTGGGATGGGCACGAGGGGGAGGGAGTGGGATGGGCACGAGGGGGAGGGAGTGGGATGGGCACGAGGGGGAGGGAGTGGGATGGGCACGAGGGGGAGGGAGTGGGATGGGCACGAGGGGGAGGGAGTGGGATGGGCACGAGGGGGAGGGAGTGGGATGGGCACGAGGGGGAGGGAGTGGGATGGGCACGAGGGGGAGGGAGTGGGATGGGCACGAGGGGGAGGGAGTGGGATGGGCACGAGGGGGAGGGAGTGGGATGGGCACGAGGGGGAGGGAGTGGGATGGGCACGAGGGGGAGGGAGTGGGATGGGCACGAGGGGGAGGGAGTGGGATGGGCACGAGGGGGAGGGAGTGGGATGGGCACGAGGGGGAGGGAGTGGGATGGGCACGAGGGGGAGGGAGTGGGATGGGCACGAGGGGGAGGGAGTGGGATGGGCACGAGGGGGAGGGAGTGGGATGGGCACGAGGGGGAGGGAGTGGGATGGGCACGAGGGGGAGGGAGTGGGATGGGCACGAGGGGGAGGGAGTGGGATGGGCACGAGGGGGAGGGAGTGGGATGGGCACGAGGGGGAGGGAGTGGGATGGGCACGAGGGGGAGGGAGTGGGATGGGCACGAGGGGGAGGGAGTGGGATGGGCACGAGGGGGAGGGAGTGGGATGGGCACGAGGGGGAGGGAGTGGGATGGGCACGAGGGGGAGGGAGTGGGATGGGCACGAGGGGGAGGGAGTGGGATGGGCACGAGGGGGAGGGAGTGGGATGGGCACGAGGGGGAGGGAGTGGGATGGGCACGAGGGGGAGGGAGTGGGATGGGCACGAGGGGGAGGGAGTGGGATGGGCACGAGGGGGAGGGAGTGGGATGGGCACGAGGGGGAGGGAGTGGGATGGGCACGAGGGGGAGGGAGTGGGATGGGCACGAGGGGGAGGGAGTGGGATGGGCACGAGGGGGAGGGAGTGGGATGGGCACGAGGGGGAGGGAGTGGGATGGGCACGAGGGGGAGGGAGTGGGATGGGCACGAGGGGGAGGGAGTGGGATGGGCACGAGGGGGAGGGAGTGGGATGGGCACGAGGGGGAGGGAGTGGGATGGGCACGAGGGGGAGGGAGTGGGATGGGCACGAGGGGGAGGGAGTGGGATGGGCACGAGGGGGAGGGAGTGGGATGGGCACGAGGGGGAGGGAGTGGGATGGGCACGAGGGGGAGGGAGTGGGATGGGCACGAGGGGGAGGGAGTGGGATGGGCACGAGGGGGAGGGAGTGGGATGGGCACGAGGGGGAGGGAGTGGGATGGGCACGAGGGGGAGGGAGTGGGATGGGCACGAGGGGGAGGGAGTGGGATGGGCACGAGGGGGAGGGAGTGGGATGGGCACGAGGGGGAGGGAGTGGGATGGGCACGAGGGGGAGGGAGTGGGATGGGCACGAGGGGGAGGGAGTGGGATGGGCACGAGGGGGAGGGAGTGGGATGGGCACGAGGGGGAGGGAGTGGGATGGGCACGAGGGGGAGGGAGTGGGATGGGCACGAGGGGGAGGAGTGGGATGGCCGAGGGGGAGGGAGTGGGATGGGCACGAGGGGGAGGGAGTGGGATGGGCACGAGGGGGAGGGAGTGGGATGGGCACGAGGGGGAGGGAGTGGGATGGGCACGAGGGGGAGGGAGTGGGATGGGCACGAGGGGGAGGGAGTGGGATGGGCACGAGGGGGAGGGAGTGGGATGGGCACGAGGGGGAGGGAGTGGGATGGGCACGAGGGGGAGGGAGTGGGATGGGCACGAGGGGGAGGGAGTGGGATGGGCACGAGGGGGAGGGAGTGGGATGGGCACGAGGGGGAGGGAGTGGGATGGGCACGAGGGGGAGGGAGTGGGATGGGCACGAGGGGGAGGGAGTGGGATGGGCACGAGGGGGAGGGAGTGGGATGGGCACGAGGGGGAGGGAGTGGGATGGGCACGAGGGGGAGGGAGTGGGATGGGCACGAGGGGGAGGGAGTGGGATGGGCACGAGGGGGAGGGAGTGGGATGGGCACGAGGGGGAGGGAGTGGGATGGGCACGAGGGGGAGGGAGTGGGATGGGCACGAGGGGGAGGGAGTGGGATGGGCACGAGGGGGAGGGAGTGGGATGGGCACGAGGGGGAGGGAGTGGGATGGGCACGAGGGGGAGGGAGTGGGATGGGCACGAGGGGGAGGGAGTGGGATGGGCACGAGGGGGAGGGAGTGGGATGGGCACGAGGGGGAGGGAGTGGGATGGGCACGAGGGGGAGGGAGTGGGATGGGCACGAGGGGGAGGGAGTGGGATGGGCACGAGGGGGAGGGAGTGGGATGGGCACGAGGGGGAGGGAGTGGGATGGGCACGAGGGGGAGGGAGTGGGATGGGCACGAGGGGGAGGGAGTGGGATGGGCACGAGGGGGAGGGAGTGGGATGGGCACGAGGGGGAGGGAGTGGGATGGGCACGAGGGGGAGGGAGTGGGATGGGCACGAGGGGGAGGGAGTGGGATGGGCACGAGGGGGAGGGAGTGGGATGGGCACGAGGGGGAGGGAGTGGGATGGGCACGAGGGGGAGGGAGTGGGATGGGCACGAGGGGGAGGGAGTGGGATGGGCACGAGGGGGAGGGAGTGGGATGGGCACGAGGGGGAGGGAGTGGGATGGGCACGAGGGGGAGGGAGTGGGATGGGCACGAGGGGGAGGGAGTGGGATGGGCACGAGGGGGAGGGAGTGGGATGGGCACGAGGGGGAGGGAGTGGGATGGGCACGAGGGGGAGGGAGTGGGATGGGCACGAGGGGGAGGGAGTGGGATGGGCACGAGGGGGAGGGAGTGGGATGGGCACGAGGGGGAGGGAGTGGGATGGGCACGAGGGGGAGGGAGTGGGATGGGCACGAGGGGGAGGGAGTGGGATGGGCACGAGGGGGAGGGAGTGGGATGGGCACGAGGGGGAGGGAGTGGGATGGGCACGAGGGGGAGGGAGTGGGATGGGCACGAGGGGGAGGGAGTGGGATGGGCACGAGGGGGAGGGAGTGGGATGGGCACGAGGGGGAGGGAGTGGGATGGGCACGAGGGGGAGGGAGTGGGATGGGCACGAGGGGGAGGGAGTGGGATGGGCACGAGGGGGAGGGAGTGGGATGGGCACGAGGGGGAGGGAGTGGGATGGGCACGAGGGGGAGGGAGTGGGATGGGCACGAGGGGGAGGGAGTGGGATGGGCACGAGGGGGAGGGAGTGGGATGGGCACGAGGGGGAGGGAGTGGGATGGGCACGAGGGGGAGGGAGTGGGATGGGCACGAGGGGGAGGGAGTGGGATGGGCACGAGGGGGAGGGAGTGGGATGGGCACGAGGGGGAGGGAGTGGGATGGGCACGAGGGGGAGGGAGTGGGATGGGCACGAGGGGGAGGGAGTGGGATGGGCACGAGGGGGAGGGAGTGGGATGGGCACGAGGGGGAGGGAGTGGGATGGGCACGAGGGGGAGGGAGTGGGATGGGCACGAGGGGGAGGGAGTGGGATGGGCACGAGGGGGAGGGAGTGGGATGGGCACGAGGGGGAGGGAAGGGAGTGGGATGGGCACGAGGGGGAGGGAGTGGGATGGGCACGAGGGGGAGGGAGTGGGATGGGCACGAGGGGGAGGGAGTGGGATGGGCACGAGGGGGAGGGAGTGGGATGGGCACGAGGGGGAGGGAGTGGGATGGGCACGAGGGGGAGGGAGTGGGATGGGCACGAGGGGGAGGGAGTGGGATGGGCACGAGGGGGAGGGAGTGGGATGGGCACGAGGGGGAGGGAGTGGGATGGGCACGAGGGGGAGGGAGTGGGATGGGCACGAGGGGGAGGGAGTGGGATGGGCACGAGGGGGAGGGAGTGGGATGGGCACGAGGGGGAGGGAGTGGGATGGGCACGAGGGGGAGGGAGTGGGATGGGCACGAGGGGGAGGGAGTGGGATGGGCACGAGGGGGAGGGAGTGGGATGGGCACGAGGGGGAGGGAGTGGGATGGGCACGAGGGGGAGGGAGTGGGATGGGCACGAGGGGGAGGGAAGGGAGTGGGATGGGCACGAGGGGGAGGGAGTGGGATGGGCACGAGGGGGAGGGAGTGGGATGGGCACGAGGGGGAGGGAGTGGGATGGGCACGAGGGGGAGGGAGTGGGATGGGCACGAGGGGGAGGGAGTGGGATGGGCACGAGGGGGAGGGAGTGGGATGGGCACGAGGGGGAGGGAGTGGGATGGGCACGAGGGGGAGGGAGTGGGATGGGCACGAGGGGGAGGGAGTGGGATGGGCACGAGGGGGAGGGAGTGGGATGGGCACGAGGGGGAGGGAGTGGGATGGGCACGAGGGGGAGGGAGTGGGATGGGCACGAGGGGGAGGGAGTGGGATGGGCACGAGGGGGAGGGAGTGGGATGGGCACGAGGGGGAGGGAGTGGGATGGGCACGAGGGGGAGGGAGTGGGATGGGCACGAGGGGGAGGGAGTGGGATGGGCACGAGGGGGAGGGAGTGGGATGGGCACGAGGGGGAGGGAGTGGGATGGGCACGAGGGGGAGGGAGTGGGATGGGCACGAGGGGGAGGGAGTGGGATGGGCACGAGGGGGAGGGAGTGGGATGGGCACGAGGGGGAGGGAGTGGGATGGGCACGAGGGGGAGGGAGTGGGATGGGCACGAGGGGGAGGGAGTGGGATGGGCACGAGGGGGAGGGAGTGGGATGGGCACGAGGGGGAGGGAGTGGGATGGGCACGAGGGGGAGGGAGTGGGATGGGCACGAGGGGGAGGGAGTGGGATGGGCACGAGGGGGAGGGAGTGGGATGGGCACGAGGGGGAGGGAGTGGGATGGGCACGAGGGGGAGGGAGTGGGATGGGCACGAGGGGGAGGGAGTGGGATGGGCACGAGGGGGAGGGAGTGGGATGGGCACGAGGGGGAGGGAGTGGGATGGGCACGAGGGGGAGGGAGTGGGATGGGCACGAGGGGGAGGGAGTGGGATGGGCACGAGGGGGAGGGAGTGGGATGGGCACGAGGGGGAGGGAGTGGGATGGGCACGAGGGGGAGGGAGTGGGATGGGCACGAGGGGGAGGGAGTGGGATGGGCACGAGGGGGAGGGAGTGGGATGGGCACGAGGGGGAGGGAGTGGGATGGGCACGAGGGGGAGGGAGTGGGATGGGCACGAGGGGGAGGGAGTGGGATGGGCACGAGGGGGAGGGAGTGGGATGGGCACGAGGGGGAGGGAGTGGGATGGGCACGAGGGGGAATCGTAAAAGGCCCTATGACAAAGGGTCACATGCGTTTGCAACAATCCGTCAGCTGCCCTCGCAACCAACCATGCATCACATGCCATTGCAAGTCTACAACCAACCGTGCCTCACCTGTCCGGGCCATCTGGTCTGGCCGAACCTAAGGGTCTCCTCATCCTCTGCAAAGAGAATGAAGTGCGCTCCCAGCCCCAACTTGGGTTGACTAAAAGAAACCATTCTACCTGCCCCCGCAATTCCCCGTGCCTAGCCTAACACTGCAACCCCCGATGCCTCACGGCTCACCTGCCCGGGCCATCTGGTCTGGCCGAACCTAAGGGTCTCCTCATCCTCTGCAAAGATGATAAAGTGCGCCCCCAGCCCCGCATTGCTGACGTGGCGCACCCAGTTCTCCAGCATGTCGGTGTAACCTGGGACAGATGCAGGGATGGAATTGAGGTTTAATGAGATGCAGTGCGGTGGAGAGGTGTGAGGTAGGGTAGTGCGGACAAGTGCTCTTGCATGCACGCACCCAGTTCTCCAGCATGTCCGTGTAGCCTGGGACAGACGCAAGGGTGGATACGAGGTTTAATGATATGCAGTGCGGTGGAGAGGTGTGAGGTAGGGTAGTGCAGTGCTGTTGCACGCACCCAGTTCTCCAGCATGTCAGTGTAGCCTGGGACAGACGCAAGGGTGGAAACGGGGTAATGAGATGCAGTGCGGTGGAGAGGAGTGCGGTAGGTTGGCGAGGTTTACTGTTGCATGCACCCAGTTCTCCAGCATGTCATTGTAGTCTGGGACAGATTCAGGAACAGAGGGGTGGGAATGGGGATTAACGAGATGTAGTGCGGTGGAGAGGTGTGAGGTAGAGTAGAGAGGAATGAGGTGTGACGTAGAGTAGTAGACTAGCATAATTCCATTTCCATTCTCCCCAGTCCCTTACCCGCACTAGAAACCACGACAAGCAAAGTCCCGTTGACAGCAACGCGGGCAGCCATGTCCCACAGCGGCATCAGGTCCTCGTGCAGCTGCATGCCTGACCCCTAGCCCTGATCGCAACCCTCGGGAATGCCTCATCACTTCACTCCCTTACCGGCATTGGAGACCACGACAAGCACAGTCCCGTTGACAGCAACGCGGGCGGCCATGTCCCACAGCGGCATCAGATCCTCGTGAAGCTGCATGCCTGATCCGAACTCCTCAGGCGACTCCCGCGGCAATAGCACACGCCGCCTAGGTGGGTCAGCAATTGCTGCTCCGAACGCCGCCGTCCCAGCTGCTGCCGTCCCATTTCCTGCAGCTGCCGCCGCCCCAGCTGCTGCCGTCCCATTTGCTGCCGTCCCACCTGCTGCCGTCCCAGCTGCTGCAGCCGTTCCTGCGGCTGTTCCAGACGTCTCCGATTCTTTAGGCGTCTCAGCGATCATATCATCTGAACCAGACGTTTCCGCGAATCGCGCTGTCACCGACAGCAGCAAGTCGCGGCGTTGAGAATGTTCCGCTGTCCTATGGATGGAAGTGACGTGGCTCCGCGCTGACGTCGGGTCCACGTCACGCGAGGCCGGCGACGGCCCGCGGATCGCGTGAGCCCCGGCGAAGAGTAGCAGTGAAGTGGGGGACGGCAGCGGTGGAGGCAGTAGGAGGAGGAGAAGGATCAGGAGGAGGGCATTTCGGAAGGAGCGGTGGAGAACGCATGATTCGGCATGACGGGACAAAGAGGCGGCCATGGCTTGCGGATAAAAAAAAAGTTGTTTATCAATATGAAGGAAACGCGCTCAGATTCTGAGATGTCGCGAAGCGAGCCCTTGAATCCTTGATGTTGTAACCAGAACGGCGCGATTGGAGGCGAACGTCGCGAAGCTAACGGAACGTCGCCGATGGTCAGTCGTCGGTACTATCAAGTGAACAGTTTCGTCCGTCCAATGCGGACCGTCGTTCGTCAGTCGCCGATCGTCGTCAGTCAGGTCCCAGACTAAAACCGTCAAAAGCCTAACCAGAACGACCATTTCCCAGAAAACGTCAGTCGGCACCCATTGTCAGTCAAACGCGCCTATACCGGATCCTTCGAACACGAAGGAAATGCCAGCTCCGTTGCTCACTCGCAAACGAGAGCTCCTGCTTCAAACGAGAAACTATACGTCACCTTGTTGGCGGCATGGCAACACTGACTGAAGTCAAACGCTGGGACGGCTGATTGGTGAGTGATCGGGACGACCTTAGGTTCACATCTAGGTAATATCTATTTCGTTTCGGTTTAATTTGGTTCGGCTTGGTGATGTACATCCTTGTCAACTCCAGGGCAGGTGGGTGGAGCATGTACGTAGAGCGATGGTGCACATTTGCCACCCGAAACCCAAAACCCTGGCGAACTGTTACTGCGGAGGAAAAGTGTCCGCACGAAATCCAGGTTTTCGTTAGCCAACACTTTCGCGCTGGCAAGCCTGGTTCAAAACAAAAACTTCTGAACCCCCGCTTGTCAAATCTAGACCCTCGTTTTAACGCACAAAACCGTGTTAGAAAAAGCGAAAACGTATGATACCGCGTGAAATAAACGTAGGCGACGGTCAACTTGCTCAGCCAGAACGGGCACACCACACCACATTACAGAACAATCCGCTACTGGGCCAGATTAAGTGAAGTAGCTAAGGTATTGAAAACAAATGTCCATTAGAAAACATGTAGTACTTGCGTCTAAAACGCCAATAAGAACCCTTCAACTCAAAGCATTGCTACGCAAGTTCAAACTTGTAGCAAAGGAATAATGACAAACATGCATGTAGGAGAGGGGATGAAACCAGTTGTGTTACCAAAGCAGGTGTGTTGTTGCAGTAAGCGCGAACCTTGAGGAGGGGTTACGCATTGAATGGTGTGGTGGTGGTTAGCCATATCCTCTCTTAGTGAAATTCTTTGGTATAAAAAAAAATCATACACCATGCCTTATCTCCACAAATAATGCAAGATATGCAGTGTAAACCCATGAAATAGTATGTAGCATGTGCTCATGCAACCATGTTTGTGGCCTCAGCTTCGTCAACGAGCTCCATGATTTGTTGGGCAACTTCTTTCTCCCTACCCACAACCACTGTGATGTGGTTCTCTCCCCGAACCTCCAACAGCTTCACGTTCGGATGCCGCCGAGCCAACCCTCTGCTTGAGTCGATCGGGCACAGCTTGTCTTTGTCACCATGCACTATAGTCACAGGAACGCTATTTAACTCACCGCTCTCTGTTCCGCTACTTAACGATTCGGTCCTGTTACAGGCATTGCTGGTTATATGAAGGGTGTTTGTGGGGCCCTGGTTGTGCAGTAGGTGCAGGGAAGGTTCCAGGAAGTTGGTGCCAGCGCAGATGGAGTTGAAGAAGCAGTGCCATGCAGTGTGGTGTGTGTGGCGGGTGAAATCCCGCATGAAGGAGGGCGGGAGCCTGCCGTAGGGAGGAGGGAAGGAACAATGGGAGGAGCATAAGAGAAGAGAAAGAGAAGTGTGGTAAAAGTGACAGTGCCAGGCGGTGTGGTGCATGTGGCGGGTGAAATCCCGCATGAAGGAGGGCGGGAGCCTGCAGCAGAGAGAGGGAGCATCGGGACAAGCAGGAGAGCAGCGAGGGGGGCATGCTTGTAGGAGTTGACACACTTGCGGAGACTTCTGAGGATTCTCATAATATGCAGAGACTCCTCACTCTGGCTTCCCCACCCCAATCACAACCCCACACTCACTTGGCGCCTATCCGGGGCAGAAGCAGCGCAGCAAGCGGGTCCGAGAGCCAATGGAATTGCACTAGGAACGCACAGATGACTCGGCCCACGTGCTCGAACCACGACATGACGCTGATGCCGAGGAGCAGAGCGGAGGAGAGGCAGCGCGGGGTGACCAGGCGGTAAAATTCCTCTGCTGGCGTCAGGCCTGGGCGGGGTGGGATGAAAGGCTGGGGACAAGGGCATAGAGGAAAGGAAGAGAAGGCGAAAGGGAAGGGAGAGAGCGAGATTGAGGCAAAGAGGTTTTCTGAAGAGGCCGCTGTGGGAAGCGGCTTGCACGTCAACCCCCCTTCTCCTCCCTCCCACGTGCTCGAACCACGACATGACGCTGATGCCGAGGAGCAGTGCGGAGGAGAAGACATTTGAGTTGACTCAAAAGGCGCAGATGACTCGGCCCACGTGCTCGAACCATGACATGACGCTGATGCCCAGGAGGAGTACGGGGGAGAGGCAGCGCGGGGTGACGAGGCGGTAGAACTCCTCTGCTGGTGTGAGGCCTGGGCGGGGAGGGATGAAGGGCTGGGATGGGGTGGGATGGGGAGCGCCGAGCAGGGGAAACGGAAAAAGGTTTGAATAGAGTGTGTGGCCTTTTGAAGCAGTGCGGGGTGACCAGGCGGTAGAAGCCTTTCATCACAAATCAGAGCCGCGTTTCGCCTGAACCATGCGCTTTGGTTGCTTGCAAGCAGCAAGTCCGGCAGGTAGAGTAGAGCAGAACAACCGCCATGTATGTCGCTACCTGCCCCAGTTTTGAGAGAGAGGGTTACTCACAGGCGAGTAGAGGCAGACAGACACCACTCTGTCCCGGTTGCGAGCAGCCAGAACCGCAGCCATGAGACACCCCATGCTGTGTGTGTGTGTCTCAAGTACTGGAAACCAGAGTTACTCACAGGGGAGTAGAGGCAGAGCGACACCACTCTGTCCCGGTTGGGAGCAGACAGCATTGCAGCTACAGGCTGCAGCAGAACCAATGCTGTGTGTGTGTGCATCCTGGCAACCAACCTGCTATTCCAATACTGGGAAAGTGGGTTACTCACGGGCGAGTAAAGGCAGACAGACACCACTCTGTCTCGGTTGCGAGCAGCCAGAACGGCAGCTATCAGGCACCCCATGCTGTGCCCCACGATGTGGAAGGTGGTGATGTTTAGGGGGACCAGTACCGTGCGCTCTATCCAACTGCTTGGGGTGCAAGGTGAGGGGGAGGGTTGGAGGTAAGAGTGTGCATGCGGCAGGTATCAGGCAGCCCATGCTGTGGCCCACGATGTGGAAGGTGCAGATGTTGAGCGGGGCGAGCATGTGCGCTCTATCAAACTGGTGGGGAGGACGAGGTTGGGGGGAGTGGGGGCCAGGGAGAATGTGGGGAGAATGGGGGGAATGAAGAGGGAGCATCGAGACTTGCAGCTATCAGGCAGCCCATGCTGTGGCCCACGATGTGGAAGGTGGAGATGTTGAGTGGGGCGAGCACCGTGTGCTCTATCCAGCTGCTCGTGGGGACAAGGAGGGAGGAGAGGGGAAGCATGGAGAGGGAGGGTTGGAGGAACATAAGGGTGCAGGTACAAGGCACCCTGTGGAAGGAGCGAGGGGAAAGTAAAGGGGTAGGAAAAGGGGAGGCAGAGTTGGAGGGGGTTGGAGGCACATGGTACAGGCCGCAAGACGCAGGTTCAGGCACATGGTACAGCCTATGCTGTGGCCCATGGCGTGGAAGGGAGATATGCTGAGGGGGGGCATGTACCGTGCGCTCTATCCAGCTGCTCGTGGGAGGAAGGAGAAGGAGGGGGAGGAAGGGTTTGAAGCAAATGAGAGAGCAGCTATCAGGCAGCCCATGGAAAGAGGAAGGAAAGGGGGAAGAGAACAGGGGGGAGGGTGGAGGCACCAAAACAGAGTCTACTACGGCTGAGTGGGGCCACCACTGTGCGCTCTATCCAGCTCTTTTCATGCCTCACCTCACGTGCTCTTCAATGCTATAGTCACAGTCCCTCGGCTTGGGGCTCTTGCCCCACCCCAGCAGGTCAACTTCTGACGTGTCTCAAGAGTCCTCAGCAGGTCAACCGCCACCACTCTCCGGTATAGGGAAACTCCACATTCGCTATAGTCACACCAGTTCTCACCTGACATGCTCTTCAACGCTATAGTCACAGTCCCTCGGCTTGGGGCTCTTGCCCCACCCCAGGAGGTCCACCGCCACCACCCTCCTGCCGTCCAGGAAGCTTCTGGGAAGAAACGGCACGACGGTGTCGGTCCAAAAGGAGGAAGCAGCACCGAAGCCATGCAGCAGGAGCACTGTGGGTTTCTCTTTGTGCATGGCACTGACTTGAACTGTGGGCTTCTCTCTGCATTCCGCATTGACTTGCATATATGGGCTGCTGCTGCTGCTGTTGCCGCTGCTGCTGCTGTTCAAAACGGTGGGTTTCTCCGTGCATCCAGCATTGACTTGCGTAAGTGGGTTGCCGCTGCTGTTGGTGGGAAGTGTGGGCTTGTCTTTGCCTCTAGCATTTACTCCAATCACACTCTCTTCTAAAACACCGCCTCCAACCGCACTCCCTCCCACCACACTCACATGTAACGCCTGCCTTTCATAAGCATCATTACACTCCTGGCAGTAACAGTCCGTCCATCTTCCTCCCACCCTGCTGGACCCAGCTTCACCAGACCCAACCGCACTAGACCCAACCTTTCCAAACCCAACAGCAGTACCCACTGGTGCAGCCACTGTCACTGCTGCTGCTGCTGCTGCTGCTGCTGATTTCGCTGCTACTCCTGCTGCTCCCCGTCCTTCGTTCGTCACTTGTATATCCGCGCCTGCTGCTGCATCATTTAAATCATCTTGATAATCCCTGTCAGCATCTGCGATGGGGTTTGTAGTAACATCATGAAGGCCAGCTACAGCACCCGAGTGGTTACCAGCAACCTCATGCATGTGCGGCCTATCAGCAGGTGACACGTGACAGGGAGCGAGAAGAGGATCGTGGTCTGATGGCGCAAGCTGATTACCCTGACAGTAAAACTGATTTGACGGCTGCCGCTGTTCAGCTATATGACAATGGTGGTGGTGGTGGTGCTGCTGCTGCTCGTGTTGGTGCTGGTGGTGGTTATGCTGCTGGTGGTGCGGGAAGGAGAAGTGCGGATGGCGAATGGAGCCATGCGTCAATGCGTCCGGGGAAGCCCATAGAAGATGGCAATCTCTGCTGGAGCATTCGTTAGCAGCACCAATGCTAGCACCGTTGTCAGCATCACCAGCAGCACCATCCTTACCAGCAGCAGCAGCAGCATTGTCACTAGAAACCTCTACAACCTTCTCTTTAACCTCCTCGTCCCTTTCCTCCTCCTCCACCTCCTCTTCCATCCGTTCTCCCAGCATCCTGCTCTGTTTTGCCCCAACCGACTGCACGAACTGCTGCGTGTCACAACCTTCCTGCCCAAAATGCTCCACACCGCACCACTGCAGAACCCGCTTCGTCCTCCAGTCCAGTGAGAACGGCAGAGCAACTCTCGCCGTTCGAAGCAACCCCAGGTTGAACGAAACACGCCACTTGCGGTGAAAGAGGTCCGGGGCGATGCTAGGGGGAATCAGGCTCGGCATAGCTCCAGATGAGAAGACGGATCCAGCAGCCTTTGAAGCGGAATGATCAGAACCGGCTGCGTCGGAATTTGAACTCCTGTTGCTGCTGCTACCGCTGCTGGTACTGCTTCTCCTGCGGTTGCAATAGCAGGGTGGAGCATTCTCACCGGCCAAACGGTCAAGGAACCAGAATACGTAGCAGAGAAGAAAATCCAGGAGGTCGAGACAGAGGAAGAAGAGGAAGCATGCGGCTTCCCCTGCTGCTTCTGAGGCTCTAACAGCTGCTTTTTTTGCCTGATTGACCGTTCTCCTGGCTCCAGATGCTGCTATTCCTAGGTTTTGGTGCATGAGATGGCGGCATTGAGCAGTGCATGTGCGCACGAGCCTCATCATCCGAGCCAGCCGGGTTGGCTTGGTAGGGTGAGAGAGAGAGTGCGTGAGCCGGCGAGAGGGAGTGTGAGGGTGAGGGTGAGGATGAGTGTGAGAGGGAGGGTGAGGGTGAGGGTGAGAGTGAGTGTGAGTGTGTGGGTGAGGGTGAGAATGGGAGTGGGAGTGACTACCTCGTTTCGGGTGAGTCATTGCATGTTTTGATTGGTGCTGGTCGGCCTTCAGACTGTGAATGTTCTCATGCTGACACGTGTCATGGTGAGCAGAAGTTTCGTGTGACGTGCTACTGCGGGACGTGGAATGCTGTATGCTGACATGATCCGTCACGGTGTCGTGTGACGTGGCGGAGCGAGGTCTGGGAGGGTGTGACGTGGCATGTTGTGAAGTGGCATGATGCGACGTGTCCGAAATTGATGGATGGCGTGGAGCCATTACCCTGAACAAAAGAGGATGAGCCAATCAGGACTAAATTATATGTGAAGAGCGCGGAGAGACTATGTAAGCGGAAGGGGTTTCCAGTTTAAAATCGACGAAGGGATTGAGGGTGAGAGAGGAAGGATTATTCAGAGATAAATAGCTCGGAGGAGGAATGTGAATTCATAGGAACTCTACAGCGGAATGCGGGTTAACGGGGCTAGGAACGTGTATCAACGGGGCTTCTGTAGAGGAACGTGAATCACCAGGGCTCAAAACTCCGGCTTTCTAGGAATGATAGCACGATGTGATAGGGGAAATCAGGAATGAAAATCTAACGGCTGTTTGTGCGACAAGTAATGCGCCAATGTGACCCTCGCTTCCACATTATCGAAAGCTCTGAAGAGAAAGCTCGAGTCTCCTAGTCTCTCCTACCTACAACCTTGGTCTAGTCTATTTGGTTCGTATACCGTCTCTGAAGAACTTGTCCAGTCTGAAGCATAGGTCCTTGGGGGGTACTCATTCATGCACTGGTCGCTTTGGACGGTGCGAAAGGGTAATTCACGGTCTGGAAGTTTCCTGTGGTTTACCGTTTTGAACCTTCCTGCGCTGGACTGAACCGTTGGAAGTGAATAGCGCTTGGGACAGCCCCGCCCCACGAATGGTTGTGGTGGTGGTGGTGGCGACCCTGACACCAGAGAAAATGGCGGGAGAAAAACACCCGCTATGTCGGTGTTCGAGTGAATCAGTGGTGGAGAACGATTCGCTGAAATTTGTGGACATCGAGAATCCCTCTGGCGCATCGCTGCTGAAGAGTCGCAAGTACATAAATCGCGAACTCCCGACAGATTCGCGTACACTTGCTTCTTCAATGAAAATCGCTTAGTCATGTAGGTTGCTTCAATAAAATAAGCAAACATGTTCTCATTCTCAGCACCACATGAAACGCACATTCAGTCTCCCATACAGAGAACCCAGACAGTTAAAGAGTTGTGCATCGCATCTGGTGCTCAATGACCTCCCTGAAGTTTTGCTCCTCTTAATTTCCGTTGGATACCACACCATCCTTTGTCACAGGAAGTGCTTTATGGGTATATGTGACGTCCTTGTCCTTGTTGACCACCTGTCCAGCACCTCTCAGCAACCAGCGTGTTGTGAGAAGACCCTCCACCCCGACAGGCCCTCTCGCATGGATGCGGCTCGTGCTGATGCCCACCTGCAAACGGCATAGAAGCGCGATATGAGCAAAAGAATGCGTGAGGAATTAGCTCTGCATGTGAAATGAAGAATTTCACCATCCAAGCATTGTGTGGAGAATCTGAATGGATGCAGCTTGATCCGGTGCCTTGAGTGCATTGGAGGGAGATCATAATAAAGAGGATCAATAATCAAGGTGCGACCATCTCGTTGCAACAAAGCAACTTCTTATCCTGGCATCCCAAGTGCAGGTCCCCACTTTCAGCCCACCTAAACATCGAGCCCATTCCCCCACCCTCATCCACCCCTCTAACTCACCTCAGCATTGAGCCTGAAGCAGAAGGGTGTGGGAGAAGCATCTTCCCAAAACCGATCCCCTCGGTTCCCACTACTTTTCACTTCGGTGCTCTCCCTCCTCCCTCCTTTGACTGACCTCGACGCCGAGCCCGACGCGAAAGCCGTCAATAAAGCAACCCCGTCTCTACAATTTCATCGTTTTATCTGACTCACCTCAGCGCCGAGCCCATATATACTCTTTCTCTCTTCTAACCGACTCACCTCGGCGCCGAGCCCGAAGCGGAAGCCGTCGGAGAAGCGAGTGCTGGCGTTGTGCACCACGACCGCACTGTCCACCGACGCCAGAAACTTCTTCGCAGCTTCCTGGTCCTCGGTGACGATGGCGTCGGTGTGCGCGCTGCCGTGCGTGTGGATGTGGTGGATGGCCGCGTCAATGTCCGGCACGATCTCCACCGTACATTCCAGCGACCCGTACTCATGGTGCAGATTCGCTGCTGGAGGCAGATGGAAGGGTGCGGCTGCCCCCTTGCCTCCATACAGCGCTATGCCTACGTGCATGACAAAGCAGAAAACACGTAAAACACACAAAATGGCATTCATGCAACCACGAGATTGATTTCTACAACCAAATAATTGCAATGAGATGCCTTGTGAACGCAATCACATCATGTGTGAATGGAGAAGGATGAGAAGGTGCAATACAGAAAAACAACGAGGAAACAAGAGGGAAACGAGGAAGAAATCCTGGAGGAAAAGATGCACACGTGAGGTAAGGGAGAATGCAGGAACCTCAATGTAATAAAAAACCCTCATTGTCCGAAGCTTACCGTTCTCCTTGAGCTCCTTAATGCGACTTTCCAGGTGCTTGAAGGCACATTGTGCCAACGTGTACCAATGCGAAGGTTCGCGTTATCCAGACAGAGCACACACGTATGACCGAGCCTTGGGACTTGGCGTCAACAGTGGTCGTCTGTTTTCCCACTTTATTTACAAAGTTCCTAGGTACATGGGCTCATATATGTACACTATGTACAAGAAGTTCTAGAGCAGTGGAAAAGAAAAGCAAGTGTAAAGATGTGAAGAACAGGTGAGAGATGACAAAGTGATTGAGTGATATGAGAGTATAACGATGTGCAAAAGAGAACAGAACTGGTTACAAAACAGTGGGAAACAGGACACACAGAAGAAAAACAGAACAGAACTTGAAACCACAAAACAGAACAGAACAGAACAGAACCTACGGTAATGACACAAACGAGTGACTCACAAACTGAAACTGACCCACATGACCCACAAAACCAGCAGTGTAACCCTACAGTAAAGCATCTACAAAGGTTAACCCCCCTTAAATGCGGGGGTTGAACAAATATGCAAGGTCAGGAGCGCCATCACTGAAAGCAGGAAGATCTGAAAATGATGGGTCTTCGCTTGACATCTCCTCCGAGATCGATGGGAAGGCCACCTCTACCCTGTGGCGGATTGCCCTGGCCTGCGCCCGTTGCAAAGCCATAGAGACTCGAAGCATGTAGGAACTCTCAAAGGCGGTTGTAAGAACACTGTCTGCTGCACCGTGATCAAGATGCCGTGCTGCTGCCCTACGACTGCAGTCCCGTAGAAACGCTTTGAAGCTGCTGCCCAAACACCCGAAGGTCTCAAGTGCAAGTGGAAGAAACTTGACTGCTGGCCGTGCGCGTAAAGCTGCTGCGTAGTGGGATCTTTTCTCTGCTTCGCGCTGTTTTGCAGCTAGGCCGACTGTATGAGTAACTGTTAGGGGAGCGGAGGGCAGTTGCGGGTCGGTTACTGACACATCCAATGCCCATTTGATTCCAGCGCAAGGGTCTATGCAAGTGACATCTGGAATTGCCTCCGGCAGCATCGTGCGGTCTTCTACTCTAACCGTGAAGCCTAGCTCCCTGGCAATCCGTGCTACCTCATGTTTCACAGCGTCGTGTACGTGAGTCGGCTCATTAAGGTCAGGACAGCGTAGCGCATGGCTGGGCAGGGTGGGATCAGTGTAGGTAAGACCACAGGAACAGGGTGGGGCCGATTCTAGGAGACGGATGTGAGGAATAGGGAGGCCTAGGCGGATTTCAGTCGCGATTAGCCAGTCTGCCAGTTCGAGTTGGGCACGAGGAGCAGAAGGGACAGCCGTGAGCCAGGCGCCAGCAGATGGGTCCTGAAGGGAAGTTAAACGGACCAGTTGGTGGTGCTGGGTAGCGGCTGAACGTAGCTGCTCTGCTGCGTGTGCTGAAATGCGCTGTGCTAGGGCAGAAAATAGCCTGTTCGGGTATCCAGCGAGTAGAGCGGACCAGGGAGGGACTAAGTGCCGCAGATCGTCATGCAAGGCTGCCAAAGCATGTGAAATCTGCGGGTCCAAAGGGTCAAGGGCATCGCTAGCGATGAAGGGCTGAAGGAAACGGTCGCCGTCAATGCTGCAGTTGTTAGCTAGGACTGGTATAGCTTGAGCCCAGCTGCAGACATAACTAAGCGACGCGTGTCTGTGTGCACTCTGAATCCCTAGACCCCCCAAGCGAATCGGTAAAAAGGCATGTGAACGGGCTAGCTGACCTTCCGCCGTATCAAGGTCCCAAGTGTCAGGAGGGAAGAGGGAGATAAGGGTATCGAGAAGGTGATCATCCCAGTCAGTGTATGCCTCTAGGACGTCGTCTGTGGGTGGAACCGTGCGGAGGAGGTATGAAGGTTTGGCGGACAGGCACATAGCGAGCAGGTGGGCAGCGATCTGCGGGTTTTCTAGACGAGCGAGCCATGGTGCAGCAACTCTCAGCGAAGCAAGGCGTTTGCGTAGCTCTGAAGTAATGAAATCGGGTTCGCCTACGGGGACGCGTGCGACTATGATTCCCTTATCCTGGAGGGCTATTCCAGGGGGGCCCTGGAGAGGATCTGGCCATCCCTGTGGCGCCCAGGCTTGACACTTAGCGGGCTGGACACTGAGACCAAGGTTTGCGAACTGCTGCTGCAAGGCTGTAAAGACTGTTACAAGGCGCTGTGGGGGCCCTAGGATGTACGAGTCGTCGGCATATGACATGCAGAGAATGTCAGGGAAGGCATTACGGATGGCACGGATTGCGAGCTGCTGGGTGATAGCGTAAAGGAAAGGGCCACAAGGATCCCCCTGGCGGACTCCGCGCTGTGACTGAAGTGTGTGAAGGAGGGGTCCTGAATGGAAAAGAAGAGGCGAGGGACTTGCATAGAAAAGGCGGAAGAAAGGTATTAAGGAGGAAAAGTCGGACTCTTGAAGGGCTGTGAACATTGCAGCGCGATGAAACGAGTTGAATGCGTTAGCGACATCGACATTAAGGACAGCCCACTCAGGGTGCAGCTCAAGAGACGAGCGGATAGCGAAGACAAGCGAGCTAAGGCCAGCCGAGACACCGACACCTAGCTGCAGGTCAGGCAAGAACTGTGACTGGATTTGCGGCTTGAACAAGAGCGCTACACAGCGTGAAAGCAGACGTGCAAGCACTTCACCGATTGCAATTGGCCGGACATCGGCGTTTGACTTCTTGAGCGCGATGAGAGTTGAAGCTGTGAGGAAAGGAGTGAAACGGGAGGAGGCCTTGCCCGCCAGCCAGTTGTTGAGCACAGGGAGGAGGAGGGGGAGGTAGGTGGGGTGGGCAAGGAAGGTGTCGCGAAGGTGCTCGGCCATCCATCCAGAATGGCCTGCCGCTGCCCCCCTTGTCATGGTGCGGATAGCCTCTTTGAGAAGATCGAGGGGCAGCTGCGGAAGGGTCGTCTGTTTTCCCGCTCCCAGAACTCGAATGTCTCCTGTAAGAATGCTTCGACACAAAACACAGTAAATCATGAAATATATGTACATGCGTTCACGTATGGTGTATCCCACAGGACATAATAAGGTGCTGATGATATGTTGAAAGACATCCACCAATCAGGTGAGGCAACTGATTATTGATTGACGAATCAGAGCGGCTTGAGTGTACAAAGGAGCCGACAACCGCGTGTGCGGTTCAGGTTAGCTTTCAGCTGCCAATAGGGCTAGTCAAAGGTTTCCCAACGTTCCACGCCAAAGCAAGGGTGCACTTTGGGGGGGGTTGTCTCAAAGGTTTATCACTTGCCTCCCCTTCCGCCATCTGTTCCCCCAACCCTACTCGCCGACGAAAACAATTGTGTTTCATATGGTTGGACTCTTCGCCAACCATTCGTAGCACCCTAAGGGGTGTACCAAACCAATACACCCGAAAACCACCCCTAGGAATGTGCACCCTTGCGTCGCTTCAGAAAACCTCGGGGTTTGGCGACTGGTGAGGCTGATCAATACCATTTTCACCTTTCTTCCATCTTGACTTGATTCTGAAACTAGAGCGTTCTGCTTGTGCAAGTCGTCTATGAGCTGTGATTCAGCTCGTCAGGTCTCTTTGATCCTAGGCTAGTGTCTTTACAAACAAACTTTTCGGCTATTCCAGCTTAGGGATGTCGTCGCCAGGCGAGGTTGCGGCGCGCCTGGCGCTGAAAGGCGCTCGTCGAATCGTGATCAAGGTGCGCCAGATGCGCTAGGCTTGTGAAGTTCAGGATCCATGGCTCGTTATGGGCATAATATCTCAGGCACCACCACTTAGGCAACAATGTAGGTTCCTAGATTTAACTTGAGGTCTGCCTTTTTAGCCTTTTTTTGCGTGTTTTTTTCCTCAACTTATTTCCAAGCTTATTCACCGATTTTTCCTTCATAAATTCCACCTTGCGTTCATACCCTACTTTCAGGTGGGAACGGCCGTGGTGACGCGTCAAGATGGACGTCTCGCGCTCGGGCGAATGGGGTCGCTCTGCGAAGCGGTGAGCCATGCTTTTATTCTTCTTTCTAGTTCATTTTGAATGCACCCCTGCGTAAGAGTATGACCTTATATTGCAGCCTCTCATATGGTCGTACTTGAATGAATGGGGACTTTCTGCGAAACAAGCCACACAGTAAATGATGTGTGTTGTGTCTGTGAAAGCCTATAGACTGTACCAAATAAAGAGAGGAAAAAAGAAGATAGAAGAAAACAAAAACGATTGAACGATCAGAATTATGGCATTGTTGTTTTTCAGATAGAGACGCTACTCTTCAAGCTAACTTCCACCTTTTATTTCGTGACTCTCACTCACTGTTCTTTCAGATCGAGACGCTCGTATCGGACGGCAGGGAGGTGATTCTGGTGACAAGTGGCGCGATCGGAGTGGGGCGGCACAAGCTGCGGTTCCAGCGGTTCATGCGCACGAGCTTCAAGGACCTGCAGCGCCCGCAGGGGGATGACATTGACGGCAAGCCGTGTGCTGGCATCGGCCAGGGCCAGCTCATGGCTCTCTACGAGTCGCTCTTTAACCAAGTGGACGTTGGGTGCGCGCAGGTAGGCTCTTTAGAAGGGCGTTGCGAGGCTTCAGGGATCGGCAGGGGTGAAGGGAGGATGGGGATGGATAGGTCCCTTCAACTGAGGGGGATTTTGGTTTGGAGGAAGGGGGTTTCGGGAGGGCTTCATGCGCACGAGCTTCAAGGACCTGCAGCGCCCGCAGGGGGACGACATTGACGGCAAGCCGTGCGCGGGAATCGGGCAGGGCCAGCTCATGGCTCTCTACGAGTCCTTGTTTAACCAAGTGGACGTTGGGTGCGCGCAGGTAGGCCCTCTTAAATTTAAGGACCGTTGAGGGGCTTTCAGGATCTGCAGGGATGAAGGGAAGACGGGAATAGATGGGTAGATTTGTCGTTTTGTGGGGGTTCTGGTCTGGAGGAATGGGGTGGGATGCGCGCTTCATGCACACGAGCTTCAAGGACTTGCAGCGTCCGCAGGACGTTGGGTGCGTGCATGTAGGTTCTAGAAGGGCGTGGGGACGTTGGGTGTGCTCAGAAAGGACTTAGGGAGCGGCTTTGCAGCCTCGCACCACACGGCCTTCCCCACACCCCCCCACCACCACCACCACCCCATCCCTTTCCCAGTGACAGTTGTTAGTGAGAGTTCCGCAACCATGTGCGCACCACAGTGTCCTCCCTGCTATCCTATCTCGTCCCTCTCACCCCGTGCTTCTGCTGCCTCAAACCAGCCACTTCACTCTCCTACCCCACGGGCCACCACCTCTTTCCTTCCCCCAAACTCGCCTCAACTGTTGCTGCTCTACGAGTCCATTCACCTTTCACCCACCCCCACCCCAAACCCCACCCTCACCCATTCCTTCTTAACAACTGCTGGTGACCGAACGGGACTTCACAGACCTGCAGTTTTGCAACCAGCTGCGCAGCACCGTCTCCTCCCTGCTAGACCACCGCATGGTGCCTCAAAGCCTCAAGGCTTAAACCACCCTCTTCACTTTCCCACCCTCCCACCCCCCCCACCACACCACACCGTACCCATCACCACCCATTCTTTCACTCAACAGTTGTTGGTCATGGAGCAGGACTTCACGGACCTGCAGTTCCGCAACCAGCTGCGCAGCACCGTCTCCTACCTGCTGGCCCATGCCACCCCCAGGCACTGACCCCACCCCACGCTCACCCCCCACTTCCCTACCCCAACCCAACCTCACCACCCACCCGCTCAACAGCTGCTGGTGACGGAGCGGGACTTCACGGACCTGCAGTTCCGCAACCAGCTGCGCAGCACAGTCTCCTCCCTGCTGGCCCATGCCACCCCCAGGCACTGACCCCACCCCACGCTCACTCCCCACTTCCCTACCCCAACCCAACCTCACCACCCACCCGCTCAACAGTTGCTGGTGACGGAGCGGGACTTCACGGACCTGCAGTTCCGCAACCAGCTGCGCAGCACAGTCTCCTCCCTGCTGGCCCATGCCACCCCCAGGCACTGACCCCACCCCACGCTCACCCCGCACTTCCCTACCCCAACCCAACCTCACCACCCACCCGCTCAACAGCTGCTGGTGACGGAGCGGGACTTCACGGACCTGCAGTTCCGCAACCAGCTGCACAGCACCGTGTTGTCCTTGCTGGACCATGCGTCTAGTGCCTCAAGTCTCACTTCAACCACCCCCCTCACTTCCCTACCCCACCTTACAGTTGCTGGTGACGGAGCGGGACTTCACGGACCTGCATTTCGCAACCAGCTGCGCACCACCGTCTCCTCCCTGCTGGACCACCGCGTGGTGCCTCAAGGCTCAAACACCCTTCTCACTTCCCCACCCTCACCGCCATCCCCACCACACCCACCACCACCACCCACCCGCTCAACAGCTGCTGGTGACCGAGCGGGACTTCACAGACCTGCAGTTTTGCAACCAGCTGCGTAGCACAGTCTTCTCCCTGCTGGACCACCGCGTGGTGCCTCAAAGCCTCAAGGCTTAAACCACCCTCTTCACTTTCCCACCCTCCCACCACCCCCACCACACCACACCAAACCGCACCCATACCACCCATCCTTTCACTCAACAGTTGTTGGTCACGGAGCGGGACTTCACGGACCTGCAGTTCCGCAACCAGCTGCGCACCACAGTCTCCTCCCTGCTGGACCACCGGGTGGTGCCGGTGTTCAACGAGAACGATGCCATCTCCACCCGCGTTGCACCGTACAAAGATGCGACTGGTGAGGACTTAGTGGTCTGCTTGTTAGTGCAATGCTGACACAGGTGATGTGAGAGAGTGATGTGCAACCACACCGTCTCCTCCCTGCTGGACCACCGGGTGGTGCCGGTGTTCAACGAGAACGACGCCATCTCCACCCGTGTTGCACCCTACAAGGACGCCACAGGTGAGCTGAGTGGTGGTCGCGTGAGGGGGAGCTATGCATGCGTGTATGCACATTTCCCACCCACTGCTTCATCACCAGTCAGTGTCCTCCCTGCTGGACCACCGCGTGGTGCCGGTGTTCAACGAGAACGACGCCATTTCCACCCGCGTAGCACCGTATGTGAGAGCTGGCTAGACGTGTGAGAGAGAGCGGTCTGCAGAGCTGTATGCATCATGCATGCCTATCCACAGAGTCCCATCACCAATGTCAGTCTCCTCCCTGCTGCACCACCGCGTGGTGCCGGTGTTCAACGAGAACGACGCCATCTCCACCCGCATAGCACCTTACAAGCGCGCCAATGTTAAGTTGTAATCTGTTTACACACACAGTCCCATCACCAATGTCAGTCTCCTCCCTGCTGCACCACCGTGTGGGGTGTTGCTGGTATTCCCCCCCCCTCGATCTTGCAGGTATCTTTTGGGACAACGAGTCCCTGGCTGCGCTGCTCTCTCTTGAACTGCAAGCAGATGCGTGTGTGCCGCTGTCAGACATCGAGGGGCTCTACACCAAGCCCACTTCCCCCCCACCCCCTCAACCCCACCCCTCCCCACCCCGCCCCATTCCTCCCTTGCCCCTCACTCACAGGTATCTTCTGGGACAACGATTCCCTTGCAGCACTTCTATCACTCGAGCTCCAGGCAGACGCGTGTGTGCTGCTGTCGGACATCGAGGGGCTCTACACCAAGCCGCCCTGGGACCCACCCTCCCCTCTTCCCCTTCCTCCTCCCCCACCCTTCCCTTGCGCTCTTACTCACAGGTATCTTCTGGGACAACGATTCCCTGGCGGCTTCGCTGTCTCTTGAACTCCAGGCAGACGCGTGTGTGCTGCTGTCGGACATCGAGGGGCTCTACACCAAGCCGCCCTTCTGACTCTCACTGACCACTGAAAAGCCTTCCATCCCCTCCCCTCCTCCTCCCTTGCAGGAATCTTCTGGGACAATGATTTTCTGGCTGCGCTGCTCTCTCTTGAACTGCAGGCAGACGCGTGTGTGCTGCTGTCCGACATCGAGGGGCTCTACACCAAGCCGCCCTGGGACCCTGCTGTCTGTTGTTTGTCAAATCATCCATCTACGTTCCCCCGTGCTACCCCCCACGTGCAGGTATCTTCTGGGACAATGACTCCCTGGCAGCTCTCCTATCTCTGGAGTTGCAAGCAGATGCGTGTGTGCTGCTGTCGGATATCGAGGGGCTCTACACCAAGCCGCCCCGGGACCCTGACTCGGAGCTCATCCACACCTACGTGCCGAGCGTGCATGGGGATTCCATTAAGTGAGTTTACGGGAAGAGGACCTGGGTTTCGGGTTTAGGAGTTGTGGCTTGGGATGCGAGGTGGTGACACTTGGTTAGCCACCCTGGGACCCTGGCTCGGAGCTCATCCATACCTACGTGCCGAGCGTGCATGGAGATTCCGTCAAGTGGGTAGACCGGGTATACAAGGAATGAGGTTTGAGGGTTTAGGGTTCAAGAAGTGTGGGGGTTTGTGGCTTGGGATGCAAGCAGACGCGTTGCTAGCGCCCTGGGACCCTGACTCAGAGCTCATCCACATCTCCGTTCCCCCCAAATCTTCCAGGTTCGGCCAGAAGAGTCGGCTGGGGCGCGGCGGAATGACAGCCAAGGTGGAAGCAGCAATTCACTCGTCAGGCGGTGGTGTGCCCACAGTCATAGCCAGCGGCCTATCGAGCGATGCGCTGCTGCGGGTGCTGGCGGGGGAGATGGTGGGCACGCTCTTCCACAAGGACTCTCACCTGTGGGCCGTTTCTAAGTCTGTGAAGAGCGCTGGGAGAGACATGGCTGTTGCTGCCAGAGATGCCAGCCGAAAGCTGCAGGTGAGGATAACTGCAGGTGAGGAGGGGTGTGTGTGGGTGGGTTCAGAGGGAGATGGTGGGCACGCTCTTCCACAAGGATGCCCATTTGTGGGCTGTTTCCAAATCTGTCAAGAGCGCTGGGAGGGATATGGCCGTTGCTGCTAGGGATGCCAGCCGGAAGCTGCAGGTGAGGAGGGCGTATTGTGGGTGAGTTCAAGGCCACAGCCCAGGTGCTGCGAGTGCTGGGGGGGGAGATGGTGGGCACGCTCTTCCACAAGGATGCCCATTTGTGGGCCGTGTCTAAGTCTGTGAAGAGCGCTGGGAGGGACATGGCTGTTGCTGCCAGGGATGCCAGCCGGAAGCTGCAGGTGGGTTTCTGGTTCCAGGTTCGGGGTTCCAGGGTCAGAGTTTAGGGCTCAAAGGTGGGTGCTGGCGGGGGAGATGGTGGGCACGCTCTTCCACAAGGATGCCCATTTGTGGGCTGTTTCCAAATCTGTCAAGAGCGCTGGGAGGGATATCGCCGTTGCTGCTAGGGATGCCAGCCGGAAGCTGCAGGTGAGGAGGGCGTATTGTGGGTGAGTTCAAGGCCACAGCCCAGGTGCTGCGAGTGCTGGCGGGGGAGATGGTGGGCATGCTCTTCCACAAGGACGCACATCTGTGGGCTGTGTCTAAGTCTGTCAAGAGCGCAGGGAGAGATATGGCCGTGGCTGCCAGGGATGCCAGCCGGAAGCTGCAGGTGAGGAGAGCTGCAGGTCAGGGGGCTTTGACGGGGTGTAGGGTTTCGGGTTGTGTGGTTAGTCACAGGGGTGTTGACGGACAGTGATCACTGGTGGGCTGTTGAGTGATGCGGTGCTGCGAGTGCTGGCGGGGGAGATGGTGGGCACGCTCTTCCACAAGGATGCCCATTTGTGGGCTGTTTCCAAATCTGTCAAGAGCGCTGGGAGGGATATGGCCGTTGCTGCTAGGGATGCCAGCCGGAAGCTGCAGGTGAGGAGGGCGTATTGTGGGTGAGTTCAAGGCCACAGCCCAGGTGCTGCGAGTGCTGGCGGGGGAGATGGTGGGCATGCTCTTCCACAAGGATGCTCATCTTAGGGCCGTCTTTCAGAGCGTGAAGAGCGCGGGAAGAGACATGGCCGTTGCTGCCAGGGACGCCAGTTGGTTGGAAGCTGCAGGTGAGGAGAAGTGCAGGTTAGGAGGGTGCGGGTGGGGTTCAGTTCAGGGCTTAGTGTTTGGAACAATCTTCCACAAGGACGCCCATCTGTGGCCCATATCCACGGAGCAGCACAAGCAAAGGCTGCTAGACGTGGCAGATGCGCTGGTGAGGAGGTGAGGGCGGAGATCATAAAGAAGAACTTCTCCCAATCCATCCTCCATGTGCCAACCCTCCCCCTGTCCCTTTCCCCACCCCCCTCCACCCACCCCCTCCCTCACCCGCTCCCCTGCTATCCAGGCTCTGAGCACGGGGCAGCGCTCTCAAGCAGGTGTTGCTGGACGTGGCGGACGCTCTGGTAAAGAGAGAGGCGGAGATCGTGGAGCAGAACGCCCACTCGCCACTCCTCCCCCTGTTTCCCTACCCCATCCCCAACCCCTCCCCCACCCACCCCCTCTCCTCAACTCGTTCCCTTATCTCCCGGCTCTGACCACGGAGCAGCGCAAGCAGTTGCTGTTGGACGTGGCGGATGCTCCGGTAAAGAGAGAGGCTGAGATCGTGGAGCAGAACGCCTACTCGCCACTCCTCCCTGTGTCCCTTCCCTCAAACCCCTTCCCCATCCCATCCCCCGCTCTTCAGGCTCTGACCACGGAGCAGCGCAAGCAGGTGCTGTAGGACGTGGCGGATGCACTGGTGAAGCGGGAGGCGGAGATCGTGGAGCAGGTGCCCCTTCCCCCACCCACCTCCATCCTTCCCTCCCCCCTAACATCCCCACCCTCCACCTCCAGGCTCTGACCACAGAGCAGCGCAAGCAGGTGTTGCTAGACGTGGCGGATGCTCTGGTGAAGAGAGAGGCGGAGATTGTGGAGCAGAACGCCCACGACGTACGGACGTCTGAGATCAACGGCGTTGCACCGGCCCTGCTGCAGCGGCTGAAGCTGAAACCGAATAGGGTGAGTTGAGGAAGAGAGAGAGCGAGTGGGTGAGTGGAGGGGAAGGAATAGAATGAGTGAACAGGTTGAGAACCGGGTGAGTTGCTGTGTATAAGTCGGCTATTCGAGTGTTGTTTTGTTGTGTGCTGTGCGTGCGGGATGTGATGTGACAGTTGCATTCCTCAACGGGAGTTCGCTTCGCCTTTTGAGACGTCTCAAAAGTTAGCTATTCGAGTGTTGTTTTGTTGTGTGCTGTGTGGGATGTGATGTGAGTTGCATTCCTCAATGGGTGTCCGCTTTGCCTTCGCTTGCATGATTGGAAAAAGGATCGAATCCTTTCTGCGCTCCTCCCCCCCCGACCCTCCCTGCTTACCAGGCTTAACAGCTGGCTGATGCCAAATTCCTCACTCAACATTTGGCTCCCATTCGTTGACTGTAACTGATGGTTGTCCAACTCTTTCTCCCCTGCCATCCTTGTCTCCCTCACCTCACCCCTCCGCTCCCTCCTCCTCCATTGGCCTCTCTCTTTTTTGTTTGTTTGTTTGTTTTTTTTCCCCAGATTCAACAGCTGGCGGAGGGCATTCGGGCCATTGCTGAGATGCCTGATCCGATAGCAGAGACGCTGGCCCGCACAGAGGTGTGTGGGTGTGGTGTGGGGAGGAGGGGGGGAGGAGGACAGGGAGGGGAGGAAAGGAGTTTGTGGGAACACATGCCATGGCACCATGCTGTGATGCATGCAGGAGTGATATCTGATCTGATAGCAGGGATGTTGCCTTGTGTGGGGCTGGGTGGATGTGGCGGGGCAATGGTAAATTGAAATGAAAGGAAGAGACCTTGTTCCGCTGAATGATTGCAGCATGGCCCTTTCTTCTTTTGAGGCGCCTCAAAAGGAGAACTTGTTCCGTCGATTCATTGCAGCATGGCCCTTTCTTCTTTTGAGGCGCCTCAAAAGGAGACCTTGTTCCGTCGAATGATTGCAGCATGGCCTTTTTCTTTTACATCCTTTCTTGTTTCGTTTCCGTTCCTGTCCCGTTCTCTCGTTCCTTCTCCTTTCCTTCCCCTCTCTTCTCTGTCCTCCTCTCTCCTTCCCCTCACGCCCTCTCTCCCCTGCTCTCACTCCCATTTCTTTTTCTGCGCTCTGCCCTCGCAGCTAGCAGAGGGGCTCAACCTGGAGAAGCAGCGGTGGCCGCTGGGAGTGCTGCTGGTGATCTTTGAAGCCAGGCCAGACGCCATGCCGCAGGTAATAGGCAAGAGGGGGTATCCCAGGCTAGAGGTTATTCCCTTGTCTCTCAGGCATTCTGTAGATTGATCGGCCATGTTTCTTCTCTTTCGCTTCTCATCACCACCCGGTTCCCTTGTTCACTTTTGGTCTTCCCAACTGTCCTGCTCATGCATGTGCCTTGTTTCCCTCTCAATGTTTCCCCTCTCTCTCAATGTTTCCCCTCCCTCTCAATATTTCCCCTCTCTCTCAATGTTTCCCCTCTCTCTCAATGTTTCCCCTCTCTCTCAATCTTTCCCCTCCCTCTCATACATGCTCCTTGTCTCAATGTTTCCCCTCTCTTTGGCACCATGTCCCCTCCCGTTATCACCACGCCCCCTTCCTCTCACTCCATGACCCCTGTCTCTTCCTCCATTTCCCCCTGCCCTCTCTCCCTCCACCCATCCCTGGGCTGGGCGGTGCAGATTGCAGCGCTGGCAATTCGCAGTGGCAACGGGCTGTTGCTCAAGGGAGGGAAGGAGGCACTCAACTCCAACCGCATCATCCACGAGGTGAGCACCTTGCGACGGTAACCAGATGCAGCATCATCCACACAGTACATTGCCTTCTCGTGTGACGCCACCACCACTTCACTTTCAATCTGTTGCTCAAGGGAGGAAAGGAGGCACTCAACTCCAACCGCATCATCCACGAGGTGAGCACCTTGCGACGGTAACCAGATGCAGCACCATCCACACAGTACATTGCCTTCTCGTGTGACGCCACCACCACTTCACTTTCAATCTGTTGCTCAAGGGAGGGAAGGAGGCACTCAACTCCAACCGCATCATCCACGAGGTGAGCTTCGCTGCAGTAACCAGAGCAAGTGGTAACCATCATGAGGTACCAGAGTGGTAATTATTGTGAGATAAGCACGGAAATACTAATGACTGATGCAAGGTCCATGAGTTAGCCACCGTGGAGTAACTGGTTAATGGTGTAAGCACAACCTCATATCCATGCAGACTTACACTTCAGAAACCGCAAAAGCCACGCTCTCCCTTCCCCCCTCCCCCAAGGTGGGCCCATCTCTGATCGGGCTGGTGACCTCGCGGGACGACATCTCGGATCTGCTGAAGCTCCTTCCCTCCTGTCCTTTATGTCCCTTCTGTCCCTCCCCCACGCCATCAGGTGATTGCCTCAGCACTCCCCCCAGAAGTCGGACCATCGCTGATCGGGCTGGTGACCTCGCGCGACGACATCTCGGATCTGCTGAAGCTGGACGACGTGATCGACCTGGTGATTCCGCGCGGCAGCAACGCGCTGGTGAATCATATCAAATCGCACACCAAGATTGCGGTGCTGGGCCATGCGGACGGCGTGTGCCACGTGTACGTGGACAAGGCAGCCAGCCTCAAGATGGCCAAACGCATCATATTGGATGCTAAGATGGACTATCCCGCTGCCTGCAATGCCATGGTGAGTGGTAGGGAGAGGGAGAAAAAAGGGAGTAGGGGGATTGGAAGGGAGGGGAGGTGAGGGAGGGTGGGAGAAAGAGGTGAGGGACTGAGGGAAGGAGAGGGGCAAGAAGGAGGGAGGGAGGGAGAGGGAGGGGAGAGAGGGGAGGGAGGGTCCATGCGGACGGCGTGTGCCACGTGTACGTGGACAAGGCAGCCAACCTCAAGAAGTTGGTCATTTACGCCTAAACTGCCCACGTACACGTAAAGTACGCGTACATTTAAGTGTACGTGTACGTACGTCGGGCAGGTTAACAAATTTTCCGTGCGGATTTTTTTTCCCCGAAATCTCCCTAAGAAAATGCCCACTGCATTCGTCGACATGGCGTTTTGTTGTTCTGTTACTATCTTAGCGAAAGGGCGCGACGTGAATCGGCTTATTCAATATTGAAGGGTTACTAAGATGTCGAGGTAGAATACACTGGCGCATAGCTAGGCACTAAGTTAACTACGCTAATAATTAGGTAAGAAAGCAAGCGCGGCAGCGACGGTCGAGAGGGCGGGGTTGCGGTGGAGCGAGTGAAGGGGATGTGAACCCCGTCAACTGTGCGCAAAAACAAATCGCGAACGGTTTGATGGGATCGCGAGTGAATCGCCAGCAAGGCACTGAAATTTTCTCACCTGCTCGCGAACTGATGTGCCACCTGCTGAGCTACACCTCATTTTTGGCAACTTTGTCATATGCAATGTTTTCATTGCATATTGGAATTTACAAATCACAGGGGGTGATAAGTGAATTTTGACGCCTTTGGGCAGCCCTAAAAAACATTTTGGTTGCCCGTACATCATAGCAAAATCCGTCACCGGCGTAAACGAACGTAAACGTAAACGACGTACACGTAAACGTAGCCAAACGGATCGTGCTCGATGCCAAGATGGACTACCCCGCTGCCTGCAATGCCATGGTGAGGGGGGAGGCAGAGGGAGGGATGGACCACCCCTTCGCCTGCAACACCATGGTGAGATACATAATGCATGCATAAAATGTTTTCATGTATTTATATGTATACTTTACATATGTATCACCCTTTGATTGTGTATACGTGTAATATCATATGTGTTATCGTGATGTTGGATGCGTGTGTTGTGCCCTTCGTGCTCCCGTTTCTTGCACCCTTTACAGAGAGCCCCTTTTGAACCACAATCATGTTGCGGCTTATGATTTGTGTGTCTTTCGTGCCCTTGTGCTTCCGTTGTGCTGTACTCGTTATAGGAAACCCTGCTACTCCACGAGGATCTGGTGAAGTCGGGCGCAGCAGCAGAGCTCATTCAAGAGCTGAAAGACAATGGTGCGTATAGCTCAATGGTGTGTATAGCTCAATGGTGCGTATAGCTCAATGGTGCGTATAGCTCAATGGTGCGTATAGCTCAATGGTGCGTATAGCTCAATGGTGCGTATAGCTCAATGGTGCGTATAGCTCAATGGTGCGTATAGCTCAATGGTGCGTATAGCTCAATGGTGCGTATAGCTCAATGGTGCGTATAGCTCAATGGTGCGTATAGCTCAATGGTGCGTATAGCAACACCGAGTAATTTCTGAGTTAGCTCAACAATGGTATGTAGCACTGAGGGAATTACGCATTTGTGATGATTCCCTTGGTACATTGCAATGTGTGTAAAAGCCATTGCAGTGGTATCCCTGTATATCATCCACTCACTACTGCCGTGTCTCTTCCCCTCCCCACACAGGCATAGTCCTTCATGCAGGAGCAACTGCAGCGCCTGCCTTCTCCCTGCCTCCGGCAGCGAATCTGCACCACGAGTACGGGGCGCTGGAATGTACGGTGGAGATCGTGCCGGACATTGACGCGGCCATCCACCACATCCACACGCACGGCAGCGCGCACACCGACGCCATTATTACGGAGGACCAGGAAGCTGCTGTGAAGTTTCTGGCGTCGGTGGACAGTGCGGTCGTGGTGCACAACGCCAGCACTCGCTTCTCCGACGGCTTCCGCTTCGGGCTCGGCGCCGAGGTGAGTCGGTTAGAAGAGAGAAAGAGTAAAGATGGGTCTGCTTGATCAACGGCTTCCGCTTTGGCCTCGGCGCTGAGGTGAGATGAGAGGGGGGAGATGGGCTCGGCTCTTACGAGTAAGAGGAAAGGTGCTTGCTTTGGGCTCGAGGCTAGAAGATGACAGAAATGGGGGGAGGGGAAATGCGCTCGAAATTGAGGTGGGCTGGAAGGTGGGAGGTGGCGCCTGAGCACGCGGCATCCATCCTGATTCCTACATGGAGATGCTTGGTTGGTGGGAGCTATTTTTTCTCACACAGATTAATTTTTTCTCGTATCACGCTTCTCTATCCTTTGCAGGTGGGCATCAGCACGAGCCGCATTCATGCGAGAGGGCCTGTTGGGGTGGAGGGTCTTCTCACAACGCGCTGGCTGCTGAGAGGTGCCGGCCAGGTGGTCAACAAGGACAAGGATATTGTCTACACCCATAAAGAACTTCCGTTGAAAGAATGACTAACAATTCATTAGGTTTTATGAGTAGCTTAGCTTGTTCTAGGCGCCTCGACTAGATCTTGGATTGTTGGCTGCTGAGGTGTGCAAACAGGTGGTAGAGGCGTTATTTACACACAAAAAAAACCCTGCTTCTGAACAATAGCCGATCAGTGTACTGGTAACTAATATGAGGGCCTGGGAAACTCTGAGAAGTCATGCGGTTTTTCTTTTTTCTGATGTGCTTTTCGTTTACAGCGTCAAGCTGACTGTCGCAATAGCGAGGTCGCTCTTACAGTGTGTTGTGAGCTCGCTGCTAATGTATTTTGGCGATAATGCCTGGATGGATGCACTCGACCTTCGTTTCACTCGTTCGTTTCAGACGAGGTTGCACGTCCATTCTTGGAAAGATCGACGGTTCTAAACGCATTCGAGTCTGTCCATGCCGCGTACAAATCCAGAATTCACCATTTCTGAGTTCAGTGGGAGTGGCGCATGCATGCACAGCTGAACTGTAACAGCTTTGTTGCACACGTGTAGCTACTAGTTGCTACTACTTTTCTGGTTGGGACGGGAAGGCTACGAGCCGTGTGATATCCTAGCACTACGAGCCATGGCTGCTTCCGTCGCCTCTTCCTCCGCCGCTATTTTGACGAATCAAGGGGCTCGATTATTCGCTCCCGCAATTCCCTTGTCGAAGTGCGTTAATCTCTATTTCCGTCCGTTCAATCCGTAGCTTCAGCCCACACCATGTGATCGGGCTACGTGCTTGTAGCGAATTCTCCCCTCGTGTGATTTTTGGACTGAGTCGAAGGTCGCATCGTAGCATGTCACGTGTCAATATCCAACTGTCTTCCGCCTTCCATCTCCTGTGTCGGCCCGTCCCTTCATTCGTGTCATCTTGCCACGTAGGACCTCATCCGGCGCCTCCCTGAGTGCCAAGCGCGTCCCTCTGCCACGTGTCACGACGCGAGGAATTCACGGCAAGGTTAGGCTGGCAGTGATGGCTCAGGCTAAGATCGCAGCAGCTTCATCGGCGGTCACGGAGCCTCTGAGTGCGGGCTCGCCCGCTCCTGCCCTGTTTGACGGCACCACGCGGTAGGTCAACGCAGGTCAACGCTAGTCACCGCAATTCAAGGGGGACGTGGCGGTCATGAAGCCGCTGAGTGCAGAATCGCCCGCTCCTGCTCTCTTTGACGGCACCACGTGGTGAGTCTAGGTCGGTCCACGGAAGTCAACGTTAGTCAACGCTAACAAAGAAAGAACTTCTGCCGTGCTTGACAGCACCACGCGGTCAATTCAACATGGTCACCACAAATAGCTAGTCAACTTCAGTCAAGTTTAGGCAACAATAGACGTCATTGCAGAATCCTCCCTTATCCCTCCTCCTTTCCTCTTTTCCCGTTCCCCGCTTCCAGTCTATACTCAGCGGGCGGTGATTGCTGTCAACCTCAAGGTGCGACGCCTGTCAACGAAAGTTACTAATAACCATTTACCAGTATGCTCTTTCCTCTCCTCCCCACCTCTCTCACACCCCCACACCCCCCTTCCAGCCTATACCACTACAAGGCGTGTCCCTTTGCTCAGCGGGCGGTGATTGCTGTCACCTACAAGGATAGTCAACTCCAGTCAACGGCAGTCAACGTTGCAGTAACCAGTATATCCTCTCTCTCCCCATCCCTCCCCTCCCTTCCAGCCTATACCACTACAAGGCGTGTCCCTTTGCTCAGCGGGCGGTGATTGCTGTCAACTACAAGGTGAGACGCCTGTCTTGCCAGTGAGTTTAACGTTTTTGTTTGTTCCATGTGGATATGAGAACTTTCAGTATAGCCTATCCCCTTTTCTGCTTACAGTGTGCTCTCATCACCTCTCTGTTTCCTCATGTCAGGGTCTTGATTTCATCGAGCGAGTGGAGATCAGTCTTCGCAGCAAGCCCGAATTGTATGCACGCACTGGATGAGAGTTTCTGGATCATTCTCTTGCTGCTGCTGCTGCTGCTGCCGCTGGTGGTGGTTACCACATGGGTCCCAATGGTTACCAACAGCATCTTGAGTCCATCGAGCGAGTGGAGATCAGTCTTCGCAGCAAGCCCGAATGGTATGCACGCACTGGATGAGAGTTTCTATATCAGATCAGGCTCTTGCTGCTCTTGCTGCTGCTGCTGGTTACCACATGGGTCCCATCGGTTACCATGCCTCTCCTCCCTGCCCCTTCCACCCACTCTTCCACAGGTACACGGAGAAGGTGTATCCGCCCGGCAAGGTGCCTGCCATGGAGCATGCAGGGAAGGTGGTGCTGGTGGTTACCACGTGGGCCCCACTGGTTACCATGCCTATCTGCCCTGTCTCCGCCCAACACACTCCCCCCACCCACCCACCCACCCACAGGTACACGGAGAAGGTGTATCCGCCGGGCAAGGTGCCTGCCATTGAGCATGCAGGGAAGGTGGTGGGGGAGAGCTTGGACCTGCTGCTGCTGATTGATGAGTTGTTCGGCGACAAGGGGCCAAGAATCGTTCCCGAGGTGAGTAGTGCCAGTGGCATGGCAAGGCGAGGGAAGGGAGTATGCAGGGAAGGTGATGGGGGAGAGCTTGGACCTGTTGCTGCTGATTCACGAGTGGTTCGCCGACAAGGGGCCGAAATCGTGCCTGAGGTGAGGAGTGGCAAGGCAACAAGTGCATGTTGTGTCTGGGGTGGAGAGTTTTGAAATGTTATGAGCTTAATTCGCTGCTGCTGCGGACTCTTACCACCATGCCTGGGTGGGACTGGGGGAGTGGACTGAAGGGGAGTCTCTGTTGTGGTTCTGAGGTTGGTTGGATTGAACGAATACTTGTAAGAGGGAGGAAATCTGGCGCAGCTTGTTTGACGTGATTGACACGGGCTTATAAGTTCCGTAAATCACGGACCTCGTCTCAAATTACGGTAGTACAAAATTTAGTGTTCTCCTGGCATCAAAGGCTGATGAATCGGCGTGCACTCTAGAAAAAATCCTGAAAAATCAGGGTATAAGTGAAAAAAAAGTGTGGAAACTCTTTAGATAGAGGTCTGAAGAAAGAGTGGGATACGTTCTGCAAACTTATTACGGGTAAGGATGGAATGCAATGAAGACCTTATTTCAACCTCAACGGGCGAGCGGAAGGAGAACACGTATACGGGGTGGAGGGTAACTGTAACATTCCCGGATGCTCATTCACTCCGGAGTTACCCTCCACCCCGTGTACGTGTTCTCCTTCCACTCGCCCGTTGAGGTTGAAATGAGGACTCCACTACTTTCCACCCTTACCCGTAATGAGTTTGCTGAACGTATGTTTCCCCTCTCCCCCTCCCTCACCCCCTTATGTAGAGCTGCTTATGCGAGCCATAAGACGTTCACTTGGCATTCAAGCGCATTGAATGCATGCAGGGCCTTGCTAGAAAACAGAAGCATCAGCCCTCGCAGCAGCATTCGGTGACTTGATGATGGCTGGATACTCCCACTCCAACTGCCTTGGCCACATTGAACCCACTTGACATTGCCAACCCCACTGTCAACGCTGTTGTCTGCATGTGTGCAGGACCCTGCCATGGCAGCAGAGGCATCAGCACTTGTAGCAGCGTTCGGTGACATGCAGATGGCCGGATACTCTCCTCTGCTCTCTCCCACCTCTTTCAGGCCTCCACTGCCTTGGCCACACTGAAACCTCTTGACACTGCCAACCCCGCTGCTAAACCCACTGTCAACCACACTGCCCCCACTGTCTGCATGTGTGCAGGATCCTGCCATGGCAGCAGAGGCATCAGCGCTTGTAGTAGCATGCAGTGACATGCAGATGGCCGGATACTCTCCTAGGTTCCCCACTGTCTGCATGTGTGCAGGACCCTGCCGCGGCAGCAGAGGCATCAGCCCTCGTGTGGGGACATGATGATGGCCGGATACTCTAGTCTGCTCTCTCCCACCTCGACCAGTGCTTCTCTTGACCTGCCAACCCAATGTGTGCAGGACCCCACACAAGCAGCAGAGGCATCAGCCCTCGTGTGGGGACATGATGATGGCCGGATACTCTACTCTGCTCTCTCCCACCTCCACACACCCCTCCCTCCCACTGTGCGTGTTCGCTCTCGCCCTGCCGAACCCACTGTGTGTGTCTAGCCCGGACCCTGCCATGGCAGCAGCAGCATCAGCACTTGAAGCAGCGTGCGGGGACTTGATGATGGCTGGATACTCTGCCCTCTCCACCCCCCTCTCACTGTGTGTCTTCTTTCTTACCGCCAACCATCCCCAATGCCTGAATGCATGCAGGATCCTGCCCTGGCAGCAGAGGCATCGGCGCTTGTAGTAGCATGCGGTGACATGCAGATGGCTGGATACTCTCCTCTGTTCTCTCCCACCTCTATCAGACCCCCATTGCCTTGGCCGCACTGAAACCTCTTGCCACTGCCAACCCCGCTGCTGAACCCACTGTCAACCACACTTCCCCCATTGTCTGCATGCATGCAGGACCCTGCCCTGGCAGCAGAGGCATCAGCGCTTGTAGCAGCGTGTGGTGACACGATGATGGCCGGATACTCGTCTTTCTCCCACTTCCACCCCTCCCTCCCATTGTGTATTTACTGCGAACCTCACTGCAGGATCCCGCCCTGGCAGCAGAGGCATCAGCGCTTGTAGCAGCGTGTGGGGACATGATGATGGCTGGATACTCGTCTCTGTCCCAGCTTTATCAGACGGGCGGCGAGACAGAAGTGGAGGCTGCAATGGGTGAGAGATAGGTGCATGAAAATGGCAAGGTATGGTATAGAATGGCATCATACATGTGAGGGCGCAGGGCTGTGTATGTATTTGGTTTGGCCTTTTCGCATATCTATCAGACGGGCGGCGAGGCAGAAGTGGGGGTTGCTATGGGTGCGAGTTAGGTCCATAGGATGGTATGGCATCGTACGTGTGACAAGTTCAACTATATTATGACCAGTCAGATGAGTAGAAGACGGAGCTTGACTTTATGACGGAAAAGCAGTTATTGAAATTACGAGCAGCGATTTCAGGAAATGTTTTTCCATGATAAAGTCGAGCTCCGCCTTCTACTCATCTGACAAGTCGAAGTTTTGATGTGCAACAGTCCGCTTAAATTCGTACGCCGCCCTGCAGGCACGAAGAGGACAACAAATTGGCACCCAGGGAGGTTCAGCGATGTAACTGCCGATAGGGCTGCCAACAAGGGGGGGAGAGAGAGTGAAAGAGCAAGTGTGGTGAAGGGCGTGACAAAAGATATGGATAAAAGGTCGATCCAAAAGGTCAAGCATTGCAGTCTTTTCTGTGAATCACTGTTCATGTGTGACTTTTTTTATTAAAAATTGATCAGCTGCCTCGCCCCTCGATCACATGGTACATTTTCAATTTATCTCTTGTGCCATGTCATCATCTCGGTCCCATCAGGATCGCATCTGGATTCATTAGAGGCGAGCCTGGGCAAGCACCAAGGGAATGGGCCGAGTTGACATTTGAGTCGACTCAAGAATCATGGCATCTTATCATTCATTCCTTGTGCCATGTCATCATCTCGTGCCCATCAGGATCGCATCTGGATTCCCTGGAGGCCGCCCTGGGAAAGCACCAAGAGAATGGGCCGTTCTTTCTAGGAAGCTTCTCATACGTAAGTCTTTAAACCAAACCAGTGTCACTTCTTGGTGGGGGTCCTGTGTCCTCCATATAACACATGGTTATGTAAGCTCTAATAATCATATGGTAATGTAAGCTCTAATCGTTTTATGTGTCACAGTATGCTCTAGTAGTCATATGTCACAAGGCTCATATGGGCCTGTTGTTTTCCTCGTTTTCCTCCAACGCCTCCTATCTTCCCTTTCTGGAGTGGTTTCCTCACGAGAATCACTTGCCGCAGCCGCCTTCGCGCTCGTGAACTAGACCACAGGGTGTTCTTCGACGTTGCAGGCATTTTTTGAGAATTCTTAAACAATCCTCGCAGTTACCTTCGAGCTCGTGAACTGGACCACAAGGTTCTCTTCATAATCATCCTCATTCAGTGCCTCGTTTCCCCTATCAATGCGTCTACCGCTTCCTCCCACCCACCTAATCCACTCTCCCTCTGCCTATCTCCCCAGGTTGACATCGGCTATCTGCCCTTCCTAGGGCTGTTTCGCATTGCATTTGACCATTTCTGCCGCACTGACATCACCAAGGAAAGATGCTCCTCTGTTGCTTCCTCCTCAGCACAGTCCTTCCATCCCCACCCTTCATATATTTTTCCTCAGGTTGACATCGCGTATCTGCCCTTCCTCGAGCGGTTCCGCATCGCCTTTGAGCATTTCTGCCGCACCGACATCACCCAGTGCCTCGTTCCTCAGACTCTCTGTCTGTCTCTCCCCTCCTCCTCAGGTGGACATCACCTATCTGCCCTTCCTGGAGCGATTCAAGATTGCATTCGAGCATTTCTGCCGCACCGACATCACCCAGTACCTCGTTTCCTCACACTCTCTGTCTGTCTCTCCCCCCCCTTCTCCCCAGGTTGACATCGCCTATCTGCCGCTCCTTAGGGCTGTTTCGCATTGCATTTGACCATTTTTGCAGCACAGACATCGCCAAGGAAAGATGCTCCTCTGTCGATTTTTGAGTCGCCTAAAAAATCGACTTCTGCCGCACTGACATCACCAAGGAAAGATGCTCCTCTGTTTCTTCCTCCTCAGCACAGCCCTTTCATGCCCCCCACCCTTCATCTCACCTCCCTCCCACCAGGTGGACATCGCCTATCTGCCCTTCCTGGAGCGGTTCCGCATCGCCTTTCACCATGTCTGCCAGACTGGCATCACCCAGGTCGTCTGTTTGTTCCTCCTCAGCAGCAGCCCTTCATCCCTCGCCCTTCATCCGTCATCATCCCCCCTCTCCCCGCGCCCTCCCCCCTCCCACCAGTTGGACATCGCCTATCTGCCCTTCCTGGAGCGCTTCAGTATCGCCTTTAACCATCTCTGTCACGTGTTGTCACACAACGCCTCCTTTCCTCGCACTCTCCGTCTGTCTCTCCCCTCCCCCCTTCCACCAGTTGGACATCGCCTATCTGCCCTTCCTGGAACTCTTCAAGATTGCATTCGAGCATTTCTGCCGCACTGACATCACCAAGAGGATATGCTCCTCTTTCTCTTCCTCCTCAGCACAGCCCTTTCATGCCCCCCACCATTCATCTCATCTCCCCTCCCCCCCAGGTGGACATTGCCTATCTGCCCTTCCTAGAGCGCCTCAAGATCGCTTTTGACCATTTCTGCTGCACCAACATTACCCAGTGCCTCCTTTGCCTCCCCCACCGGACCTGTCGTCTCCTCATACTCTCTGTCTGTCTCTCCTCACCCCACCAGGTGGACATCGCCTATCTGCCCTTCCTAGAGCGCTTCCGCATCGCCTTTGATCATTTCTGCCGCACCGTGTCACCCAGTGCCTCGTTCCTCAGACTCTCTGTCTGTCTCTCCCCTCCCCCTCAGGTGGACATCGCCTATCTGCCCTTCCTGGAGCGATTCAAGATTGCATTCGAGCATTTCTGCCGCACCGACATCACCCAGTACCTCGTTTCCTCACACTCTCACGTCTGTCTCTCCCCCCCCCCTTCTCCCAGGTGGACATCGCTTATCTGCCCTTCCTCGAGCGGTTCCGCATTGCCTTTGACCATTTCTGCCGCACAGACATCACAAAGGGTCGCCCCAACCTGCAGCGATGGTTTGAGGTACGGTGTGAGGCGGTGTGATGTGGTCATGTGCGGTGTGAGATGATGGATTGTTGTGCGGCAGTTGGAAGTGCGAGTGCCTTTGACCATTTCTGCCGCATAGACATCACCAAAGGCCGCCCCAACCTGCAGCGCTGGTTCAAGGTACGGATGAGGCAGTGAATTGCTGTGCAGTGTGAGGCGGTGGTCGAGGTACGGTGTGTAGTGCTGGTTCAAGGTATGGTGTGAGTTAAGTTGGAGGTGTAGAATTGTTTCTGGTTACACTTATCATGTGTGTATACATATGCATATGTGTGTGTAAATTTATGTATTTATACTCGTTTCAGGGTCATCGTCTGTCTGTTCACCACGTTGCTGCAAGCTGCAGCAAGCATCCAAGTGGTCTCACATCGTCTCATATGGTCTCACATCGTCTCATATTGTCTCACATCTTCTCATATTGTCTCACATCGTCTCACAGTCCGGAATGCCATTGTCTCCACTTGGCATTGCCTCTCATTGCTGTCCGCCCTTTCATTCTCCTCGTCTGCTCCTCTTTTTCCGCCCCTCTTCCCTTCCTCTAGTCCTCCTCCTCGTTGGCCCATGCAGGCAGCAGCAAGCATCCAAGTATACACAGACACGTGCATGAAGCAAGACGATATCATCACTGCCTGCCTTTTTTTATTATGCTCCGTTCTCTTTTACGCTCTAACCCTCTCTTCCACTCCAGTCGGCAGCAACCATCCAGGCATACACAGACACGTGCATGGAGCGAGATGCCATTGTCACTACCTACCAACAGATGCTGGTGCGTTGACACGCGCACATACAAGCGTGCATGCATGGGTGCATGGATGCATGGATGCATGGGTGCATGGGTGCATGGGTGCATGGATGCATGGGTGCATGGGTGGGTGCATGGGTGCATGGGTGCATGGGTGCATGGATGCATGGGTGCATGGGTGCATGGGTGCATGGATCCATGGATGCATGGATGCATGGGTGCATGGGTGCATGGATGCATGGGTGCTTGGGTGCTTGGGTGCATGGATGCATGGGTGCATGGATGCATGGGTGCATGGATGCATGGATGCATGGGTGCATGGATGCATGGATGCATGGGTGCGTAGGTGCATGGACGCATGGAACCGGGGGTCATTGTGACATGCATGTGTGCTGGAGTGGACATGCATGGATGCGTGCATGTGTGAATGATGCATGAATGCATGGATGCATGAATGCATGGGTGCATGGATGCATGAATGCATGTGTGTGTGCTTGGGTGTATGAAATGTGGGGTCATCATGACATGGTTACTAGCATGCTGTAGTGCACATGCTTGGGTGCATAGAATCTGGTTACATGGTGGTGTACATGCCATATGTTTGGGCTTGCACTGTTTACTACATCATACTCTCCATTATGTCACTTTTCAGCTATAACACGTTCCTCCATGACACTCCCTCCCATATGACACGTGCATGCATGCACGTTTCCTCACATTGCTTTTGCTTACCTTATCATTTCTCATCCTCCATATGTTTTTATGCTCATGACTTTCACTGACGTGTGTTACAGGATAACAAATACTTTGAAAGAGCAGGGGTGGCAAGTTCAGCATCAACAGCCAAGCCGGCGGCAGCTGCTGAAACATAGGTGCAGGTTTTATACCAGTAGTTGTTCATTGCTGCTTCAAAAGGGATGTTCAGCTGACCTTGACGTTTTATCGAAGAAGTACTCAGGGGATGCTCAGACCAAACGTTTTCAGGTCTATGGACCTGCATGGATATAGTGTATAACGCCAAACATTACGTGGCGAGTTTAAGTCCATCTAAAAGGGGAACACGCCAAGATATGGACTGCAAGCAAACTGCTAATAAGAGCGTGTTCCTACGCCTTGTATCAAACTAACCTTATATCAGGCTCACATTGAAAATTCCCCAAAACCCAAAATCCTTCGCTAGTTTTACCAGGCAAGTTTGATATGAGGCGTAGGAACACGCCCTAAGCATTGACGTTGTCATACTATCCGGTTCATGACGTTCCAAGTTTATTCAAAAGGGTTTTACGGTGAAAACGGTCAATTGTTATAAAAAACACTGTACATACAGCTTATGTACATCAAGCGAGCTACGCGTAACGCAACAACAGCACAAACCAGTATCTAGCAGCTACTATCGCATGGTCAACTTTTACAGCTTCACTCCATGGACTGAATCTTCACGTCGCGAACATTAGGCTCGCCTTCCTTCTGCGGCTCGATAGGCTGCTTCTTAGGCACTGTCACAGTCAGCACGCCGTGCTCCGTGTTCGCCGTAACCTTATCCACCTCCGTGTTTTCCGGAAGGCGGAACCTGCGGAGAAACTTCCCGCTGCTCCTTTCCATGCGGTGATACCTCCCAGTGTCCTCCTTTTTCTCGCGCGTGCGCTCGCCGCGAATCGCGAGCACGTTTCCGTCTTCGATCTGAACCTTCACCTCCTCGCGTCGCAGCCCGGGCATATCTGCGATGAACTTGAACGCGTCGTTCGTTTCACGAACGTCCACCGCCGTGCGAGCAATGTCCTGCGAAAAAAATCATTGTAAACAGATCAGCAAGAGGGCGCAAGGTCAGCTCTTGTTTACCGGATGAAATAGCTCAGAATAACTTTCAATAATCATGCAAAACCATTTCCATGTGTAATCACTGCAAAACCCACGGAAATCGGAACTGGAAAACCAACCAAAGAACAGGGTTCCTGTAGCTCACCTGCGTCTCACGGAGGAACGAGGCGGTGGGGGCTTCGAAGAGCGAGCTGAACTCGTCGGGGAAGCGCATCCAACGCGGCATCATCTCCAGCGGGCCCGTGGGGGACGTGAGCGAGGTCATCGGCGCGAAGGGGTCCATCATGCCCATGCCGGTCCACGGAGCGAGAGCCATGGCGGGAAGTAGAAGTAAGGTAGTACGCACAAAGAGACTGAGAGCTAGTATTTACTCGGGGAAGCAAGAGCGCATGTGACAGTGTGTGAACTTGCTGGGTATGAGAGCTTGAAGGTAGTGTTTGGAAGGCAGTGGAAATGATCTGGAACTTCGATGATGGACGACGGCTAATGGAGCTACTTATATAGTAACCCGCGTCGGTGCCAACAAAGGTTCTCGAATTGTGTAGCGGCTTCGACGATGAGAGCCGATGCGAAGGGTGGTATGCATGAAATTACTCGCGTCATGACGAAGCGACGCCTTGAAAGGCTGCTAACAGACCATGCTCGCGACGCATCTAGAGACGTCGAGCATGGATTTTGGAACGCGCCTCGAAAAATCCAATCGTGGTGCGGTGCGGAAAAGTAACCTGCCAGCACCACGCGCCAATAGCCGATGAGTGCCTGCGCCGCGGAGCTCGTTGCATGGGGATGGAGCGAGGCATCTAGAGAAGCCTAGCAGGTGCGAGTAAGTACCTGCCAGCACCACTGTGATAGCGGAGTGCATGGCGATGGTGGAGTGTGTTTGTGTATGCGGTGTCAACAAGATAGAGGGAGAAGAGCACCCAGCACGTGATGTGACGAGACAAGTTGTCAAGGAGGACGAGAAGGTGCTCGATCTCTCGGGAGACACAAACGCGTTATAGACTCCCTCCCCTTAAACTATGTGCTCAAAATAGAATAACCGGTAATTTCAGAACCTACAAACTATAATGCTACATAAGTTAAACAGCAATATTCTTTTTGTGTGAAAAGTAGAATCAGATGTAAAACAAATATCTATAAGAGGTATATACTATAATAACTCTGAAAATGCAGTTGGTAATCAGATAGTAGGTGTAAGGAAAAATCCCTTTCCTTACTTCGCGCCCCTGCTTACCGCGTATAGGACCACTCCCGCCATCGGCACCCACAGTGAAACGTTGTTGGAATAACCGAAAGGTTATCGTAACATTCCCGAAGGCTCTCCACTCGCGCGTCACTCCATAACGAAGCAACGCGCCTGTATCAGTATCGCAATAGCTCATATAGAGCATGCGGAAGGTCGAGGGTCACCCGAAGGTCAACAGTCGAAGACAGTCAACAGTCGTGACCCTTGACTGCCCAGTAACCGCACTTGGTAGTTACGCGATGCAACATGGTAACTGTCAAGAATAGCAATAGTCGTGGTTACGGTAGCAATGCAATTCAGTTAATAAGGAAATGTACCCCTCAGAGTACATGGCTAGCTAGGACTGCTATTTATTCCTTGTATCACTATCCTTTAATCATCTTGTTCTCTTTCAATCTTATCAACAAGGTCATTCAGAGACTTCATAGTCTTTCCTTAACCTTAACAGCCTTATTCTGTTCACTACGATCCTTCACCTATAACAACATGGTATGAGAGCTAGAGTGGATTATAAGGACTGTTAAGATTCTCGTTCTTTCTAGAACAACCTCTTTATAAATTACTCGTTAAAACCTGTTACAATATGAAACTTTATGAGAAGGCATTCCTGTATGCTACAGGGACCGACTCTAAAGTGTACGAAGCCGAGGAGTCAGAAGAGTCGAAGCGACACAGGTAACCGTCTGATCAAGACCGATGCAGGCAGAAACATTCGAAGTGAAAAGAGCGGGAACAGGTTTGAAACGGGTTCCCGCGCCGCACGGTTTGAATTCGCCGCAATAAGGGAATTTACCCCTTAGAGTACATGGCTAGTCTAGGTCTTTTCGTATTCCCTTGTATTCTTATATAAACCCGATGTATGCATGCTATTATCAACTCGGTCATTTACAGTCACTCTGACCTGAGATTCAATCTTCCGTTGCAACACTACCCTGCGATCAGCCCTGAGCGATCCTTCGCTAAGTCCCACTTGGGATTGTAACAAAACCATTACATACTCTGCATCACTATGGCTCCTGAAAAGGGGACTGCAGATTCTCCGGGCCCACCACCAGCAACATCCACTGCACCATCAGCGGTGACCTCCGTCAGCGCCGCTCTTGTTGAGCAGCTGGTCGCCCGCATCAACGCTCTTGAGAGCCATCAAGCCATGAGCATCGATGGCTCAAGCTACGCACGTGGAGTTGCTGGACTCACTCTCCCTGGAGAAGACCGCCGCGTCAACTCCGAGAGGTCATTTACCTTTGACAACCGTCAAGCTTCAGCTCCTGCGCAAGACAGTCAACATCGCACACAGTCAGAAGCAATTGCGACAATGCAAACCAAGTTCGTTCTGACTTCAAAGCTGAAGACATCGGTTCCTTTCGACGGCAAGGATTTCTACACGTGGAGCTTCGAACTCGAACTCCTCGCGACAACCGCGCAAATCTGGATGTACTACGATGGAAGCTTACCGTTTTCGACGGAAGGCACCATCCAAGACAAGAACCAGTACTACCACGAGTCTCTTCTCGCGTACACCACCCTCCTCCGAAACCTCTCTCCCGCCGAGCAGCTTGGCATTCGCTCCTATAAATCAGAGTGGGCACCCGCATACTCTTCTTGGGAGCACCTGCGCAAATCATACATGGCAACAGATCCCGTCACAATGAGTCGCCTACTCAGCCAACTTACATCGGTTAAAATGCAACAAGGAGAGAAGGCGGGACCATATATCAATCGGTGCCGCAATCTGCGCGACCACATCAAGAAGTGCGGCGGAACCGTTCCCGACGATATGTTCGTCTCCATGGTTCTTTCGGGCCTCGGACCTGATTGGCGACAGTGCCAATCGTTGCTCCGTGCTCGAGCAACCGTCTCCGAGTCCGCCTTGTGCGCCACGCTTCTCTCCGAGCAAAAGGAAATCGACCTGTACAACGAGAAGAACACCAAGCGGGATAAGTTAGTCTTCTACGTTGGAACAATTGAAGGGGAGCAGCACGGCAAGAAAGGAACTTTCTGCAAATACTGCAAGAAGCCTGGACACACTATCGATCGGTGCTACAAGCGAAAGGCCGCTGACGAAAGGCGCAACAACTTCGCCAGTCAGCAGCCCTCGGCACCCTCGGCTTCTTCTGCTACAACCTCGACCGTGTCACCACCTTCGGTAGCAAGCACTTTGTCAGAAAGAACGAAACAGGAATGATTGAACTAGCACAAAGTTGGGTACAAGTAGGAAACCCTAAGTTTGTGTACCCCCTGAGGCTAAACCCACTATAGCCTACACAATGTAAACATACAATGTTTGACACACCCCCATAGGCGAAGTGGGAGACAACCAGAGGGTCACAAGACCAGTCAAAGCAAAGCAAAGCTCAGGGTGGATCTCAAGGATACCACACAAATTCCGAGCACAAGCAAGTGGTCACAAGACCAGTTCACATGCAGTTTGATAATAGAACAAGAGGTACAGTGATCACAACCTAGCAAGTGTAAGCATGCAGGGATATATATAGAGATCACAGTACAAGCAGAGTCAAGAAGTGAGCAAGTGAGGGAGAGTAGGCACAAGGCCTAGAACAGTACAGAAACGCTGATGGTCACAAGGCTGAAGCGCCTTGGTGAACACATCAGCAGTGTTGGCCCGAGTGGCCACGTAACGCAGACGAAGCTGACCACGCTGCTGCAGCTCTCGAGCAAGGAAGTAGCGCAGAGCGATGTGCTTCGTTCTGTGCTCCAGTCTGTGCTCCTTACACAAGGCAATGGCTGCCTTGTTGTCGACGTACAGCACTGGAGGAGAACGAGGCCGCTCTCCGAGGTCGGTCAGCAGGTAGGTGAGCCAGCGTAGCTCCTGGGCAGCCATTGCTGTGGCGTAGATCTCAGCCTCACAACTGGAGCTGAGAACAGAGGAAGAGCGTGTAGAACGCCAGGAAACAGAGCCAGAGCCAAGGCTGAAGGTGTAACCCTGAGACGACCGCTGCGTAGCCTGGTCGTCAGCCCAAGAAGCGTCTGAGTGTCCAGTGAGGACAACGTCGCGCCGTCCTCCAAGCACAAGCCCCATGCCCGACGTACTGCACAAGTAGCGCAACACCCTCTTAGCGGCATCCATGTGCTCCTTCCGGTGACGGCCAGGAGCGACATAGCGTGCTAGGATGCTAAGAGGGTAGGCTAGGTCAGGTCGAGTGCAGGTCATCAGGTACATGAGGCAGCCCACAAGCTCTGGATACGGGCCACTCGGCTCTACGGACTCATCCGAAGGCAGAGCTGAGAGCGAGTGACCGGTAGGCAGAGGAGTGGGCTGAGGCGAGGAGTACGTGAAGCGGAAGTGCTGAAGGACCTGCTGCACCATGTGTGACTGAGTCAAGGTGATGGTGCGCTGTGCTCTGTCCCGGGTGATCCGCAAGCCAAGATAGCTTGTCAGCTCACCCAGGTCTGTGCACGTGTGTCTCTTCTGCAGCTCCGACTTCACGTGGGCGAGTGCCTCAGTGTCAGCAGTAGCAAAGACCAAGTCGTCTACGTACACGAGAACGTAGAACGGCGGCAGAGTGGTGTCGGTGCGTAGAAACAGCGACGGGTCAGCAGTAGAAGGAGCAAACCCAAGAGCAGCAAGAGTAGTCCTCAGTGTGTCGTGCCACTCACGGGGCGCCTGGCGGAGACCGTAGACCGGCCGCCGGAGGCTCCACTGGGTACCAGGAGGGAACGACCCAGTGAAGCCAGGTGGGCGGCGCAGCCAGATCTCCTCGTGCAGGGTGCCCTGTAGGAACGCAGTGCTGAAGTCAAGGCAGTGGAGCTCGTAGTCACGCTGAGCGGCGACGTGCAGCAGAACCCGAAGAGTGGTCATCTTCGGGGTCGGGGAGAAGGTTTGGAAGAAGTCAACTCCCTCTCGCTGACTGAAGCCTCGTGCAACGTAACGCGCCTTGAAGGCAGGCGGAGAACCCGGCGGCCGCTTCACCCTGAAAATCCACATGCCACTGACGATGTTCGCCCCAGGTGGGGGAACCTCGTCGACGTAGGTGCCTGTGGACTTCCAGGAAGCCATCTCTGCGTCCATGGCTGTCCGCCACTGAGAGGAGTACTCACCCTCCATCGCC